CTTTCTCTTGAGCACTGAGTAACTTAAAATGGGATTTTTAAAAGCAGCAAGCTATTTCCAGAAGACATATTCACTTTTTCTTCTTTTTTTTTTTTTAAAAAAAAAAACCTTTCCATAGATCAAGTGCTCCTGAAGCACTATACATGGAATGACAAAGGGCCTGCTGTCTTCACCAAGGCACATCTTTATAAAAGCTTTAAAATGGGCATCTAAATTGTGCTTCCATTATCCCCTGGGGTAATACAATGGTTACAATATGAAGTTTATGCGTGGCAGTGCATGCCTCATTTTGTTAAACAGTAAACATGGTAGTTTGCTAGAGTTGCTCTCATTTCCTCTAACATGCTCTGAGATTGGATTGTTTCATTTTAAATATATTTTTTCAATAGGGAAGATGCTGGAATAACCTTGATCTTTGGGGGTACCTATTAGATTGTTACTAGGCAGGCTGTTCCCTTGGCAACACATGTATTCATAATAGAGTTTCAGAAGCTATGAGAGCATCTTTGGCTCTAAAAATGCTGAAATGCCACTGAAATGAGAGGCCTGGCTGACATTTGGACAATACACTACCCTAATACATCAGAAGAATAAAAATAATGTCTCAGATCTGTTTTTCCCCTTATACTTTACTAAATGTCATTTGATTTGATTCTGACAATAGCATATTGTAGATAGGACTATCATTAATTTCCCCAAAATTTGTAATGAACAACAAAAAAGTGACGCCTAGTTGGAAAATGGAAAGAAATATCAGTTTTCAACAATTAAAAAAAACCTTCATATGTGAAAATAGAAATACAAATTTTCCTCAACAAAATTAAAGGAAGAAATTAAAAGAAGCTTTAGTCTTAGTCCTGATGAGCCAGAGCTGCTGAGTGCAGTGAAGGTCAAATAGGAAGGTGCTTGGGTAGAATGCTGACACCTTTAGACACCGAGTGATAACAGTTTCCAAAGTAGATGGCATAATCTGAGGGGGAAATACCAGAGCCTTGTCTAAAATTATGGAATGGGACAAGTGTCTACACTAGAGCATTTCCTGTTACCACACAATAGCAGGAGAAGCCAGCCCACAGGAAAAAAACCCAGGAACCACCCATTGTTCAGTGAATTCTCCTCCTGGAATTGCATGTCATCACTCCTCATGCCTGTCCACAGGAGGGAGATGAGACAGAAGGAGCCTAGGCTACTCTTTTGTAGCTTTCATTTTGGCTCCTTGTCTTAAATGGCTACTGTAACACCTCCATTTCTTATAGATACTGTTCTATATCTTGAAACACTGATCTAGTTCAAAATGTAAAGTGTTAAGGCTTCTTTCTGGTGGCCTGGCCTGGTCATCATCAGTTCCAGGCTCATGGAATTTTCCATGAATATTAATAACATGGGGGTGGACAGATAGATGGTCAACTAAGCCATTTCGATTGTTCTAATCGAGCCTCATGAGGAAGAATGGCCTTCAAGTTTTGCTGGGCTGGTAATGAACAAGGATGTAGCCCTGATTGCTAATGACAGTGATCCTGTGAGTATGCGGTGAAATACTGTTGGGATAAACTTTGTATTATTTTAATGGGAGGAGTCAGGTTACTGATAATATTAGTGCAGATAGCCAGGAGGCTGGAGCCAACTCTGCCTTTAGACCTTAAGAAATGTATAATGATTGCTCTAACAGTTTAAGACAGTTTTAATTGGTATTTTCTTGTCTACAGTGAAAAATTATAGCCACAAGAAGTTGAAAATCTTACAGGCAATAATACCAAAAGTACATTTCAGACACATGGGCTATACAAACCTCTCTTGTAAGATATCCTAATATTAGTTGTAAAGCAAAACCCATTGTAAATTATACTCTAATACCTACAAAAGGAACACAAAAAATAGAAAACATAAATACAAACCAAAATAAAGTAAAAGTAGAAATTATATATGTTTAGGAAAGTAATACAAGTAGGTTATCTTCTAGGGTTCATGACCTCTCCAGTCACAGGTGTTTAACTTGGTCATAGTACTAGGCAAGATTTCCCTCCCTGTGTGAAGGTCTCAAGTTCAATTACACAGCTATGAGTTACTCCCAAGATAAAAGTGCTACTATTGCACCATTGGGAACATTATGCTGGGCTAGGCACCCTTGTGACTCACAGGCTCTATAGCTAGGTAGGATTAACAACTTTTTCTATTTTAGCAGCTTGCAAAGGACCTTTGGATATTATTACCACTAGTACCCAAGGTGATTCCTTCAAGCCTTGAGTTCAGAGTGTGTGGTGTCTTCAGCAATAGGTCCTTCAAGTTCTGGGAGGCAAAGGCAATATACTATACTGTTTTGGGAGTCTCTTGGTCTACGTTGATTAACAACTCAACAAATTTTCCGTTCCTGGAACTGGGGTTTTTGTTAAAACAGCCTATGTTTTTTAGGGCAGCATTACCACTCCAGGTGGCATATGATATAACTCCTAACTGCTGTAAGACCTCCTTCAGCCAATAGTCTTTAAGACACTGGCCCACTTTGGTGTGGTCACATGTTCTATATATTCAGATGTAGAAGCATGTACAGGCCCTCTTGGCTGCTGGATTCAGTTTCAGTTCCCTATTCATACAGAGGACAGCTGATTACTGCTTTACCTGTGAATCTACCCCTAAATAAGTAAATCTTTATTAGATTATAATATATAATATATATGTTAAAGGTATTTTGATTTCAAAATTTATTTAAGGATATGTTACTTTGGAAAAGAGGTTCTGTTTTTGTTTCCACAGAAGATGAGAACCTGTGGATTCATTCCAGGATAATGTGATTTGATAAAACAAAGCCTTCTGAAGGGTCTGTGTGAACCCCTAAAAATACCTTGCCCAACAAACAGCAGGAAGCAGTTTGGAGGAAACTATGCCCAAATTCCCAAATGACTGTTTATAGATGTTTGTTTTCATTTTAAAAGGATTGATTATAAGTAATTAATGGTCACTCTCCATTTCTATATAAATAAATAAATCAGGGGGATACAATATATAGAGATGAATACTTTACCTTGGTATGAACTTTGTTCTATTGATTCAAATTTAAGGTCGATTTGCTATACTGTGTACATATATTTTTGCTCTTGTTTAAGGTACTGTTGTGCATCTTGTTTAAAAATGTAATGTATAATGAAGAAATACAGATCAATAGTCATAAATAATAATCACTGTAGTTGTGTTAGTTAGATTTTCTAGATGTACAGATATATTTCAGATAGATGTAATCTTCAAATACTTCAAAGAACTGTAGAATATAGCACTTAAATAACTTAGGGTTCTGTTGACTTGAGACATGATTGCTCCTGACAGCAACAATCTATTCCCAAGAGAATGTTGGGCACAAAAGATACTCCACTTGGAGCTTGTTTTCTTCTTGGCAAAACTAGCCTTTGGGGAAAGTACTGCCCCTGCCTGGGCCACTGACAAAATTCATGATGTCCTAACTAGACAAGTACAATACAAGCAAAAGACTGCCAAACGTTGCCAAAACAGGGTTAAGACTGTCTTTCAAATTTTCCTGCCTCTGAAAATTGTCCATCTGTTACTCTAGGCCTTAGCCATAGTTCATTGCCCCAACATTGCAAATGAATCTTGGGGTGATTGCCCAGGTAGTCAGCTGTCTCTGCCATTTCTTCAACCTTTTAGAAGTTGTTTGATTGTACTTCCTGTTTACTCAAGTAATATTATTTAGCCAAGCCATTTCTAATAAAAGACTTAGACACTTTATGATAGAATAACTATTGAAACATTTAGCATATGTTTCTTGCTTGATATTGTTCATGCTGATTGTAATTCTAATTTTTATACTTGATATTTGCTCTTATTGTATATAGTTCTGTATTAGACTTAGAATTCTTTTATTTAGACAGAAGGGGGAGGTACTGTAGGAACTCCTTCAGCGAATAGCCTATAAGATACTGACCCACTTTGGGAGTGGTCACATGTACTATATATGCAGATGTAAAAGTATGTGTAGATTGGTTGTTGGTTCCAGTTCCCCACTCATGCAGATGACTGGTAATCACTGTTTTCTGTGAGTCTGCCCCTAAATAAACCTTTATTGTACTCCATTTCTGAGTTATTGTAGAACTCTTAGTATGCCTACACCTAACTCCATTTAAGTTATACAGATATGTGCACATATGTGTGTGTGTGTGTGTATATATGTAGATATAACTTTTTAAAAGTAAACATAATGTCTTCCCAGGGCTTCTTCAAACATCCCTAGTGTTATTTACCCCACGTCCTCCCTGATCTGTGTAAGAACCCCCCTCCCAGTTAAAGTCTCTCAACAGCTAATTAGTTTTAAATTAGATTACACGAGGAACTTTAACTTTGGCTTATTGCATTTCTGCTGTGTAGAAACACTGAACACAATGTCATACGCTTCAGTCACATTGTCACTTCCCTTTTGCCTCTATAGTCTGTCCATTTATACGACTGCTGAGCACACTGCTCTTCAATACAAGATGGCTATGATGCCCTCTTACACTTGTGAGTAGTTCAGAATGGACTAAATACCTCATTAAAATCAGGTCAGCAGGATCTACCAACAGGGGACTTTAAGATTTAAGATACGGGGTTCCCAAGTGTGAAAGAATGAAAGATAAATAAGGAAAACTGACACCTCAGGATGACTTGATAATTCCTCAAGCTTGGCTTATTCATCCCTTTCCTGGCTGGACAATTGACGCTGCAAAAACAAACATCTTCTAGTATTTGAAAACTCTCAAACTCCACATCTCCTGAGTCCTGTAAGAAACAGATATTTCATACAAGCTTCCATAAATAGTCTAGGGTAACTATTTTGCTAGTACAAAAGAGACTCTCTGATAGTGTGTTTTTAAAAACAATTCTAGGATTCTTCAAAGCAATAAGCTTACTAAGCAATACTATTGATTTTGGCAAATAAAAATTACAACTACTAAATAAAACAAAAAATGAGGGCTAGCATACTTTCTAAGGTGGAAGACAGTAAACTGCTATGTGCATGGTCACTAACAAGTTTTATTAATTATTACATAATATAAAATGTTATTGGGACTTTCTATTTTGAAACATAAAAGTAACAAAGAACACAAAGCACTTGACATTCAAGTCAATCTTATTCTACAAAGAATTTTAATTCATTCCACTTAAAAAATAAAAGTAGTATCCTCACCCCCCAAAATGAGCACATTAACCACATATTCACATACAGAAAACTAACATACATTCAATTGTTTACAAGATATATCACCATATAATCCATTTAATTCATTTACATTCAAATGAAGTATACGAACTTATTTAATTACATATAGTTTTTTAACTTTTGTATTTCATCCCTTTTAAAGCAACCAAGATAATACAATAACTATTCTCTACGAATCAGTTCATATAGGATGATTTAGGATTAGAAGTTACTTTTGAAGAATTATAATAGCTCTATTTGTACAACAAGGGTGCAGTAGTTCTGAACATAAGCCTGGGGCTATAGCTTACTGCTTTATGTCATGTCACATCCAATTCCTGACTTTTATTTAGCAGGCTGCACTGTTCCATTTGTTAATAATTTCAAATGTTTCACACAATTATTTGTGCATAAAGGGGAAAAAGCACCAAGGATAGTGATTTCTTCTTTTTGTAAAAATATTAGATGAAATTTCAACAGTGATCTCCAAATCTCATCATTTGTAAATGACATTTACTTACTACAAATGCTCAATCTTTGAGTTTTCTTGGTGAAATCAACAAATACATTGAACATAAGAATGGAAACACAACAAACATATCAGAGATGGCACTTAGTAACAGCAGAATTCAGCTTAACATCAACAACTCCCATTTTTTATCTGAGTCCATAGAAAAACTCTGAAAATTAAGTGTAAGATTCATAAACTTACCAGTTACAGCTCATGAAAAAAAAAAAAAACTTTAAAAATGCCTTTTTTGCTAATACAGAAAAAAAAAGGTTTTCCTGGTGAACCAAGTACTCTTTATGGTAAAGAAATGTATAAAGAAAATATTTTTCTATGAATGAATTTGCAAATTTATGTGTATAAAGGTATAATTTTCCCACCTGTATTTGTAATATTTTAAATAATTTACAATACAAAATTCAAAGCACAAATTGAAAAAATAATTCATGTTCTATATTCTCTAGTTAATAAATATTGCAGCATATGGTATAGTAACAACAACGAAAAAAATTCTAATGTAAATGGTCAACGAGATCTCTTTGGAAATACACTTTAAGAAAAGTCATCAATGTGTGATCTTGCCTGTCCAATCCTACCGAATGCAATCTTGTGGAGATGTAAGGATGTAGAGTCACCTGACCAGAGTGCACTTTGGTACCAGTCAGCCGGATTTTTGTGTCCTTTGTCTTTGCCATAGGCACATGGTAAGCATCACAGTGACAACAACAGCAGATGTCATGTATTTTGTCACACACAGAAAGCTGACAAACATTATTTTAAACATTTCTAGATCCCACCAAAGCTCTTCATTGGAATAAAAACAGAGGGTCCTCTGGCTTTGGAGGTGTTTAAAGCAAATAGACAGGTATATAAAGTAAAGTCTGCTAACACATGGATCACTGGTTTAGAACAGCTTCATAAAGGCTTCTTACACATCTTTTGCGAAGCAACAAGTTCCTTTCTAAGTATATGGAACTTTCAATTCTGTTGCGACTTCATCTTTTCTTCCCAGTGCTTTTCTTGTGTTCATGCCCTTCAGTTTTGCCAGTTAAGCTCTTTTTCCGAGTTGAGGTATGAGAAGCAACTGCTGTAGATGGTCCGCTGACTGCTGTACCAACAGAAGAAAGAGACAGTGAGATACACAAGTCATGAAGGATAAAATAACGCTGGTGGGGATGGACTATTTTACTATAACTGTAAAAAATCATTATAAGCTTTCAATATAACATTTTAAGTTTTTAGAACTCAACACAAATATAGAAGAGTGAGACAAAAGACTATGTTCACAAAACCAACTTTTTAGTTCACTCTATACTCTTCATGGCAAACACTCAAATTCATCATTGCAAGTACAATCCATTCTGCTAATCTCGTTTATACTGTGGCCAGGCTTTTCCCCATTAGCTCCAGATACAGAAATCCAACTGCCCATTAGAACTGTCTCTACTTATATCTGACAGGAATATAAAGCATGCTTAGCACTGAATATCATTTCCCTACGGGTACCATATTTCCTACACCTTCCATCTCATTACTGTGCGAGGCTGCAGAACTGGGAGGCACAACTTGTGTCTGCCCAACATCAAAGCCATGGCCAGTCACAGAGCTACCCTGAGTGCAGCCAGAGGTCTGCTCCACAGGCTGAGGCTGGTCAGGCTGACATCTGTTCATATGACAAGCACTCAGCCAAGACAAGAAGAACTCCTACAACACCAGTGTATAAAGACAGCAGAAAGTGACAGAATTAGATAGTTACTAGAGAAGAATCAACATGTTTTAGTTTGAAAACTGGTCTCAATATCCATCACATAACTTGGCTAGAACTCCAGCATAAAAGCTAGTCTTATTAGCATGAAGAAGCAGATGACAAGTATTGGGACAACTACAGCTGACAGAAAGGAAGAGACTTTAATTCACACATGAACTATGATTAATCTATTGCATCCACAGAAAGCCTCAGGTAGAGCAGGCTACAAGAAAAGAACTGAATTTCTGAGCTCTCAGTCACTTCCAGGGACATAATTGTACAATCTGAGTTCAGCAAATTTAACTATTTACATTTCAAATAATACAGTATTTTTTTTGGAGAAATATAACTGAAATACTAGAATCCAAAGTTTCTATAACATGTCATTTATAATGTCTATGATATAACTAAAGTTACTTAATATACTAAGATTAATGTATGGTATTATAAATATTTAACATAACAGGAAACAGAAAAACGTCTTTCTTAAAAAGGAGAAAAGTGACACAGACTAATCAGGAAATGAATAACTTAAAAAACAATTTTTAGAGCAGCAACTTCATGCTCAGTGGTGAAATAAATCCTTATGCTTATAACAAATAAAAGCTTGTAAAGTCTTGAAAGAAAACCTAAGATCAAATAGGATGCTCCAAATTAAAGCATGAAAATAAAATAACTGAAATAAAAATTGGTTGGATTTAACAGCAAATTGAGGCAAAAAAGAAAACAGCAATGAGGATTACACCAAAAATACAAAGAAAGGAAGAATGAAGACAAAGAGCAGAGGCAGACATAATCAGAGTACTGAAAGACACACACACAGATACACACACACACACACACACACACACACACACACAAATACACACAGAACGAGAACACTGGCACAGGCAGAGAAAACGGAAAGTGTTAACTAGCACGTCTTAGAGAAATACGTTCTTAGGGAACCAGAAATCAGTGGGTTGTCAAGGAAAAAGATCAATTCTATCCAAAACTGGATAGCAAAATTGCCTTGCAAGAATAGGCAAAGACATTTTTCTGTTGTAATAAAAAGATGATGTTGCCAAAAGACCCAAAGTGTAAGAAATGGTAAAAGAGTTTTATGCTTAATGAAACGAGTGAGAAATACAGACTTCAATGACGGAATGACACACATCAGAGAATGGCAGATGTGGAGAAGTATGGAGCTTTGTCTCCCCACCCTGCTTCGTTTCTTTAAGATAAACTACTACTCAAGGGAACTATCACAGCATTGCACTCTATTGTTTATACTGCATGTGGAGTTAACACACACACAGATATAACCACGTAGAAAGGACAGACGGAATAAAAGGTAAAAGAAAAATTGAAGGAAGCTGCAACCTTTCTATGTATTACTCTGGATGGTACGCAGTTAACTCCAAGTAGACCATGAAATGCTAAGATTATGTATGTAGAGAAAGAAATAAAAGAATAATGCAAAAAATTACAACAAAAAGCAACACAAATATTTAAGTGAAATTCTACAGATTACTCAATCAATTCAAAATAAAGCAGAAAACAATAAAAATAAGTATAAGACTAATTAGTATATAAGGAACAGCAACATGTTTTGTAGTCCCAAGAGCAACTGAACCTTTTGGTCCCCTGATTACTGGCTAGGCTGACTGACACCAAGACACCAATCACACCTCCTCCTCTGCTGGGTTTTTTTTTTTTTTTTTTTTTGCCATGGACATAAAAACAGTACTAATTTCTTAGTAAAAGAAACTATACAAATGTCAGTTTTGTATTGTATATTAAATACATCAAAATTATATTGACGACAACTGTGTAGTATTGGACATGAGCTTTGTGGCCCTTATCTGACTGCAGAAGATTCAAATCTATTTAAAACCCCAACTGATTCACAGGGCAAGAGTACCAGGGGATCTGTTCATCTGGCAGAAATGGAGGTTAGCTATAGGAAAGCGGCAATAAAAGAAACTACCTTTCGATGAATGTTTAAAATGTAGCCAAGTACTTCACACGTGTGTATTCACCTCTGATAATTCCATAAAGGAATCATTATCCAGATTTTCTTAGTGGAGACTAAGGATTAGTGTCAGGCAGGTCACAGAACTAACAAGTATATCCGTCTCACTCCAAACCATAAGTTCATACTAAAAAGAAAATCTAAAAATATTACAAACTTGAAAATAATCTCAACATCTCTGCCATGTGTTTTTAATGTGAAACCACAGAATGAACAGGTTTGCAGTACCCATCTGGGATAGGGAATAGGGAGAAAGATCATCAGACCAGAGAAGCAGAGTTAGCGAGCAGAGAAAAATAAGAAGATGGAGAATGTCATTGGCAATCATGGTAGAAGGATCAGCACACAATCACATTAGCAAGTACTTAAAACAAAAATGCTGGCAAAAGCCTTCAATGTGGGCGTCACATCACCAGACTACAAATGGAAGATAAAAAGCACCAGGTAACATTTTGTTTTTTAAACATAAAATGATGATGCCTTAGGCCCAACAGATACTGGAGGAAAACACGGAAGTAAAAGAGGAAAGGAAGATTACATAGATAAAAACACATATAAATGACATGTGCATTAGATTTTGAATTCGGCATCACTACAGGGAAGGCAGTAGGAAACGCTATGATTTTTACAGCGTCAGGAAAAGGTACTGCCGCCACTGTTACTGCTGTGTGGAATCCAGAGTTCAAGGGCATCTCTAACCTGCTTTGCTGCTTGCTTTAGTGCTCTTTAAGGTAGCCGGTGGCGTTGGGAGGATCTTTGCAGGTGTATACGTATTTAATGAAACTTTTCTTCTTATTCCTGGGCTGGAACGTGAGGCCATAGAAGCTGAAAAGAAATAAACAAAATATAGTAACACTACAAAACCACTTTTTACTCTCATTTTTACAATCTTGGAAGTTGAACCCAGAGCTTCATACACGCTCCGGAAGTACTATAACACTAAGCCATATATCCCTAGCCTTCTACTTTTTATTTTGAGATAGCCAAAGACGCTCAGTCAGGCTGACTCTCTACTCACTCTGCTGCCCAGGCTGACCTTGAAATTGTAATCCTCCTGCCAGAGTCTCCTGAGAGGGTAGGATTACAGGCCTGTGCCACAAAACCCAACTACAAAAATTCTAATAATATGGTTTAGTGGGTAAAAATATGTCCAATAAGTAATAAATAAAGGTATATAATGGAAAAGACAAGGTTTCCAGTCAATTCAGCCAAGTCAGCTTTCTAATAAAAAGGCAGTTTTCTCAGAGCCTTAACTCAAATAAATGTTTATACTGCAAATACATATTTCAACAGTATACAGCGAAGAACCCCCACACCCCAAATCCACAGAGAAACATGCTACTTGCATCCTGCTCTAAGAGGCACTTAAAAAATGGCAGGGATTCATGGCTTAGTTTTATTGCCTGTAACAAACAGCAATTTTTAAGAAAAAATCCTAATGATAAGTGCAGACTTGGGATTATATATATATGAGCATTTTCATCTACTGACATATCATAGTTATTAAACAGGTAACTGTATGGTAAGCAGTTAAATAATTCAGGTTCTCTTCCTTTTTACACAGATGAGAGTTATCTTCCATGAAGGGAGGAGAATTTATCCACAGCCCCGCTTTCTGTTCAACATGGGGGCACAGAACGGTGCAGCAGGAGCAGGTAAGGAGGTAACTGTGGGCTGTGAAGTCCTACGGGCAGAGATGAGACAGCAGGAGCAGGTAAGGGGGTAACTTTGGCTATGAAGTCCTACGCGCAGAGATGAGACAGCGCGCAGGCAGCACAGGGAGCTCACTTGCAGGAGTTTCTAAGCTCTGGTAACATACTGCTGTCAGTCGTCTTCAATCACAACGTTTGGATTTTGTTCTCAATGAAGAAAAGACTCCAGACAAACTAGATTACCAATTTATTCTTTGCTATAAACACCACAGAATCATTACAGTCCTGAGCTTACTGAGAATGAAACATAAACAACGAACTCACAGTATTCATACTAAGTATAAATTCTGTAACTGGTCTATAAAATATGAGATTCAGATTATTATTTCATAACTGGCACATTTTATTTAGTAATCCAAAAGAATTGGGGTGGGGTGTAACAAAGGCTTTAGCAGAGTTCGGGTTTAGTACTGTTTAACAACTGACTAGTTGATTGTCCTTAACAATATCTACTAGGGTTTTTCCTTTGACAGGAAACTTTCCCCAAAGACCATGTTAAAAATAAAATGTATCAAAGCAGTTCTGCTGGATGAAAAGTCACAGAAAATAAGGTGCTCTAAACATTCAGTTTCCTTCTTAGTCATGGATTTTCAATGGTCCTTGGGAATCTCGGTTATGGCCCAATGATCTACACTGCCCCCCCCCCCCCATGATGTCTATCCAGTCCTTTGGACTACATTATGTGACACACCTTTTCATCCAGTTCTCTTAATAGCTAACAACATGAATTTTTTTTTTTTTTTTTTTTTTTTTGGTTTTTTTCGAGACAGGGTTTCTCTGTGGCTTTGGAGCCTGTCCTGGAACTAGCTCTTGTAGACCAGGCTGGTCTCGAACTCACAGAGATCCGCCTGCCTCTGCCTCCCGAGCACTGGGATTAAAGGCGTGCGCCACCATCGCCCGGCAACAACATGAAATTTTAAAAAAATCTGAAAGTCTTGAGTAAAATCTCATGATACAGAGAAGAGCTCATCAGAACAAACAGGACAGGAATCTAAAATCACCTTACTAATGTCATAATAATTTACTCTAATGAACTGGATTCACTAACTATAAAAAAATGAAGTCATCACAAAATAAGAGTACTATGGAATCAATCTTAGGATTATCTCTCTAGCTATTACATTACATTTTTCCTAAGAACAAAGAGACATCATTCCTGTTTGACTTCCAAGTCATGAACTGCAAGCTTTCTAAAATCAAATAGCATCAATAGATGCCGGAAGACCTTTTCACTTATGAAACTCATTCTATATTCTATAACTGAAGAGTTGAAAACCTCAGCCCAGGGGAGCATTGAAACATGAAGTTTAGGGGGGAAACAGTACACAATAATAGAGCCTATTTGGATTATCTATTCTCGGGTCTTTGATGGAATTGAAGACAGATAGTTATAGTTTTAACTATAACTTTAGTCATGATAAAAGATAAATTAGATATAAAATTTTAGAGTCACAAAGAAATACTGTAACTGTAATTCTTGCTTGATTTAGACAGAAAAGGGGAGATAAATGAAATTCCCCTCTGTATGCTATGAATATGTTTTATTACCACTGATTAATATAGAAGCTGCTTCTATATATATATTTCTATATATTTGGCCTATAGCAGAGCAGAATAGACCTAGGCAAAAAAACTAAACTGAATGCAGGGAGAAAGAAGCGGACTCAGGTAGATGTCATATAGCTGCCTAAGGAAAAAGATGCTGGAACCTTACTTGTAGGTCATAGCCTTGTGGCGATAGATAGATTAATAAAAATGGATTAATTTAAAATGTAAGGGCTAGCTAGAAATACTCTTCAGCTGTTAGCCAAACAGTGCGGTAATTAATATAATTTCTGTGTGATAATTCTGGTCTGGGTGGCCAGGAAACCAGCGTGCAGTCTCATTTTACAGGGAACAGCACTGTGCATTTTATTAAATTGTAGATAACAAAAATGAGACTATCTTTATTTTCCTGACTCATTCTTATTTATAATTTACTTCATTTGGAGTTTATGGATGCTTAGGATTGGACAATTCATATAGAAGATCAGAAATTAAAGTCTGCTTTCCAAAGGCAGCTCCAAAGTGAAAGACTTTAGAAACATCCTCATTATCACTACTGACAGCTGGCCTATACTACCGGAAGCAGAAGAAATGGCAAAGAGTATAACCACTTTGAAGGATGGAGGAACATCATTAGGACAGATTAAACTATGAACAGTACTCCTCAAATATACAATGTGATAGTCCAGGAAAGGGGAGAGACATTAAGACTGGAAAGTGCTATTAATTCTAAGAACTTCAATGTCCATCATTTTATGCTCAGGCAAAAAAATATTTACAGCGTATTAGAAAAGAGGATAATATGCAACGAAAGTTTGTGGTTTTCTAAGATGTAACTAGAATAGTTCTCTCCTCAAATTAATGCTTTCCAAACTGGAAATTTCAACATTCTGAGGGATGCGCTGAGCTAAAAATGGCAAGTGCCACCTGATGTTTAATCTTTGCAAAAAAGAAAGAAAAAAATTGTCCTAATAACAAAAATGCTGCAGAAAACCTGGGTTGTTTATAAAATTTCAACCTTTTACACATCAATGTATCTCTAGGTTCAGGGAGAACAAAGTCAATTCCAAACTTACATAGCGAGGAACTCTCTTAATCCACATGAATGCATTCTTCACACTTTTTTTTTTATTTTTTAGGCAGGATTTCTCTGTAACTTTGGTGCCTACCCTGGAACTAGCTCTTATAGACCAGGCTGGTCTCGAACTCACAGAGATGGTCTCCCTCTGCCTCCCAAGTGTTGGGACTAAAGGTGTGTGCCACCGTGGCCTGGCTCAGACTTTTTTTTTTATTTTTTTTTTAAGAAATACAGTTTAAAAGCCTTTTGTTCTAATTTGATATCTTTGATAAAACACCTTTCTAAAGCTGAACGTGGTGGCACAACATTTATAATCTCAGGTTCTGGGAAGCAGAGCAAGGAGGATCACTGTGAATTAGGGAAAGAAACCCTGTCTCAAAAAATGAAACAAAACAACAGTTACAATTAAATGTCTCAACTATTTAGCAAATACGGTGAGGGATGGGCAAGTGTGAGTTCATGTGAACCATTCTGTAAATTACAAAAAAGAATGTGAGCTTTCCAGCAAGTATAGTCAAAAAAGTTAAAAAGGTGCTAATTCTATGATATTGTTTACTTTTTGTGAGAAAAAAGATTTGGGTATAGAATCAAGAAAAACAGTCTACTACCCATGTGTAATACAAAGGAATTACTAATATTATTCCTTTACCTATGTCTCTCTTAAAATTGTATCACAATTATTATTGAATTTGCATTGCTAAAATTTGGGTTATATGTAGGTAATATCTATTGTCCAATAATAAAATATAGCAAAGGTAAATTCCATACATATTTCAGGGACCTTGCGTAGAACTTCAGTTGATGGAGAAGCAATGGAAGCCAAAAAGTCATCCACTTGCTTTAAAAACAGGGCATTGTGAAGAGTCTCCAGAGGACAGATAGACGGTACCATGGAATACAGCTCAAAGCCTAAAAGAGAAGAAACAAACAATGGAACAGTAAGGTTGGCTATTTCAAAACTCAATCATTAGAAAGCAAGGCAACTTACTTAGGACTGGAAAGTTCAGGTTTTTTACATGCAAACACACAAGATTTTTCAAGTCATGACACCAGATGCTATGCAACATGGAACCAAAACAAGATACAACCATGATCACTTTAAATGTCATCAGACAGTACAGCATGCACACAATGCTCCAATGTCACAAAAACCTAAGTACAGGAAGGAGAAAACCTGGGATGTAGGGGAGATAAATGTTCACTTTTTCATCTTTCAATGTCAGATCTATTTAACAGATGAACAAGCTGATGCTGTATTTCCCTTAGACCAAGATGTTACAGTACCTTGATAATATGTACTTCAACAATTAAATAATAGAGAAGGGAAATTCAGACACAAATTTTAGGAGTTAATTAGGTAGCTAATTGTGAAGCACAAATTGTAATTTTTCTCTAAGGCCATTAACACCCTAATGTGGTCCTTGGGCAACACTTCCTCAATCAGGCTGGTCTTAAAATTCTTAAACAATCCTTTACTGAACGGCAATAATTTCATTTTTTGAAATCCCTGGTTGAGCAAAGTTAGACCAAGTAAAAAGCAAATAAACTGCAAATATATTCATGTTTAACCATTGCACAGGTATACAAGATTTTCATGATGAATCATGCAACAATATGTTAATATAATCAATAACACAAAAGCACTTATACACACAAATTACTTTCCTAAAACAAAAAAACTAGTTCCTCAATTTAATAATAAAATTATCTATTTAAACTTTATTTAACTGAATGGCTTTAAAAGCTACTGCCATATACTTTAAAAATAACCAGTGCTTCCCAAAATTCAAATTAAGTCTTCTCAAAGAATATCCCCAACACTCAAATTTACATAAAAATAGATTATTATTAGTTAAAAAATAAGTCATCTAAACTCAGACTGCAAACTAGGCTCTTCTCCATAGACATATGATCATTTATGCGATTGTATGCTATTGGATTTCTTTACAATTTGGGAGGAACTCAAGAATTGCTGGAATTCTCAGTTGGAACGGGGAACATTTTAAAAAGGGAATTGAATATTGTTATGAAAATAACCAAAGGATTAATAAAATTAATGCTAGATTTCCAGGTGCAAACCAAAGCATGACAGACCATTTCATGTAATGTTAGACAAAAGAAAAGCAACGATAAAATGGCACAGTAGCAGCTGAAGCAGCTCACTCGGTTCCCACTGAGGAACGAAGCTTTACAACTCCCTTTCTTCTTAAGTACAAGTGGTTCATGCAAACAAGCACAAATCCTTTCTTTGCAGTTCTCTAGACAATATGCTTTTCTCCTTTCTCAGGGTGCTCAGCCGTCTTTTGTGAGAGCTCCTTTCATTTGCCCGCTGAATTTCAAAACAGCAAAGGACGTCTGATCAAATTGCTCTAGACTACACTCTTGCCATTCGTCTCAAACAGCTCTTAATGTACAATGAAAGGGTTAGTGCCGCAGTCTCAAAAGCCACCCTGCTGACATGTTTGGAAGCTACGAAAACATACCACTGGAGCCTAGAAATTGCACAGAGGAAGCAGAGCAGCACCCACTGAGGGATAGGGATTCTGCACAGAGGCCCAGAAAGTAAGGTTAACACTGCCAGAAGACACTTGTGCACCATGTTCCTTAGCTAAAGATGGAGGGAGGGAAGTGTAGGATGTAGGTTATAGACAGAAATAACATGAAAGTCATGGGAAATAAAAAGTGAAAACGTCACATGACAATTCACAGGACAGATTAAGACAGAATAGCATTAAAGAAGAAGAAATATCGAAAACCCCAAAGGAATATTTCTAGAATTGAAAGGAATCTATGCAATAAGCTGCATAATGCAGACAAGCCACATTTAAAAGAAAAAGCCTAAACCAAAGGAATACAAAATTATTCTTATTTTCAATTAAATTTAAGTACTACTTTTACCTTTAGTTAAACATAGAACTTTCCCAGAAAACCCAGAGCTCGCTGTGAAAACAAAGGCACTCATACAAAAGATGATAGATCCTGTAGTGGTTTCTGTGAGATGCTTTTCTTCTAGGACTTACTAAGCATATGCTACCTTTAGAAATTGCAACTGTTATCAAATCAGATTTTTTTTTCTCCAAAAAGTAACATTTAAACAGCTACACTGAAGCAAAGCATATTAAGCTATTTGGTTAAACTTTCACTTGAGGATGAGTTCTTCTTAACTTTGTCAAAGAAGTATTAGCCAGCTGTTATGTAGAAGTGTTAAACCTTCCAAATGGAGATCATAACTGTGTGTCGATTCTTAGGCTTCATAAAAGTCCGTTTTTGAAAGACTTATTTGCAGTTTTAAAAAAAACAAAGTTCCAGGGATAAAAGTAACTTCACTACAAGTGAAAGCAAAGTCTATGTGGGATTTGAAAGCAAACAGAAAGCCAGGTATGATGTCTTTTGTCTGTAATCCAAGCTCTCGGGAGGGTTGCCGCAAGATGACGGACTGCGAGGTTGAATTCAAGCTGGTCTACACAGTGAGCTCTATGCTAGCCTGAGTACAATATCAGGCTCCACCTCAAGCAAAACAAAACATTCCCAAAACACAACCAATCAGTAACTATTCTGCCTGGATCGACATCAAGTTCTTAGCAAAAACCTAAAACATCACAACTCAATTCATAACAGAAATCACGGACACGCTCCTATCCAGCGTTACTATAATGGAACCTGATTCTTTTAACTTTAGTTTTCTTTCGACCAGGAAGTTTCCAAATGTTCAGAAAAAGCAAAGGCACCAAAACGCGAAGACTACTGGATAACAGTAAACCATAGGTATAGCCACCCAAGGACAGGTTGATCCTGGACCGTCTCCGGAGCCGTCCACACTTCATAGAGTTCTGTTCAGACAGAGAGCCAGCCGTCTGCTGCAGTGTCCCTCGTGGCAGCTGGCTCCCAAGACCTTTACAGAGACATGTCTCACTGGGCTCTTTGACATGGGTTGCTTTGGATTTTGTTGAATAACTCAATAAAACAATGTGATCAGAAAAATAATTAGAAAAAAATATTAAGAATTAAGAAGAAATTTAGGAATAGTAACTGTATCTTTAAAAATTATATAAACTGATCACTTAAGAAATTAGAATTTCCAGGTGTTAATTCAGAATTAAGGCTCATCATTACTGTGGCCATTGGACAAGTTCATGAGTGATGCTCAATTATTGTGGAAATCACAGCAGAAAAGAGAAGAAGACAGTGGTTTGGTAAGTAAGTTGGGATTGTATGCCAACTGAAATAAAAGACGGATAAATACACGATACTGTGTATCCCACATTTTAAAATAAAAGAAAAAATTAAAAAGGGATGAAGCGGGGAGTATCTTTTAAAATAAAAAGCAAACGTACCATTGGTTGGGTGTCGAGCAAATGAGATAGAAAACCTTTTAACAGCAGACCCGCGTGTGGCGTCTGAGAAAGAGAAAAACAGGTCCCTGAAGTTCATAGCTGCCAAAAGAAGAACACTTAAAACAGAGGGAACCACAAACACGTGAGGAAGTCAGAACTGGGTGACATGCAGAGGGAAGAATGAGAAAGCCGAAGACTGGTTAGAAGCAGTAACTGGCTTGATGGTACAGGCAAAATGTTTAATGAAATACACAAAAGAAAGAAAAGCAAGATGACCTGGCAATTCCAGTAAATCCATGTTTTACTATTTGTACAGATAAGAGCAAACGTTTTAAACAGTGCTGATCCTGCAAGAGCTGAAAACATCCCTCCTATCACAAGGGACAAATTTTCACGAGTCTCAGAGACATTCTGAATATCAGAATGTTAAAACTGAAGTCAGATTAACAGGGAACTTAAAAATAGCCCGTTCTATTTATTTTTATAAAATGATGGCCAATATATTTTCTCTCACAAATAGACATTCTATTCTATTCTATGCTAAATAGTTTGTTCATATTAATAAATAAAATGAGTGTTAATTATAGATAAAAGTTTAAATGTTAAAGGAAATTTGTTCTTTATAATCTAGGTTCTCATTCAGCTAAAATAATGATGAAGTTATAAAATTTTCTATTTTAACAGACCATTTATTGTGCATGTAGTCTAAATCTGTTATTGACTATCAGAACCTAGACCCCAGATGTGGACCCCAGAGAGCACTGAGGGTTGTGTGGGAAGAAGTAGCTAGGGCTCCACAGCAGTCTGTGGCCTTAGACTTGCTTTGGAGAAACACTGCTCATGAGTGTGTGCATGAGTGTAGGTATAAATCTGTGTGTGCGTGTGTGCACATACCATCTATGCAGCCAGAAGAGGTCAGCTTTTTACGATGAGTACGAGCATAATCCTGTAGGTTAGGTGCACTTGAAGAACCCCCGAGCACTGAGGTGCTAAACAGGCCCGCACAGTGAGACCCTGATGGGAGTTAGAGAAGATACATACAACAACGGGTGTTCTTCCATTCACATTGGGAATGCATGCAGCATGCAATCAACATGGCTCTTACCAATGCACAGACAGCCTTTGGCAGTGCCTTGAACAGACTCGCAATATGTTTGCAATAGTCTAGTGATACCAATTTGAATTCAGTGCTTCTAAAGGCCACTAGTATTCATCACAAACACAAATGGAGTAATTTAGTACTGGGTAAAATGCCTTCTTTGAAAAATAAGCCAACAAAATCATCAAACATATACATGCTAAAAGTACTAAAAATACCACCACGAAAATTAATTTCAGAACAGAATAGAGTCTTATCGCAAATATGTGAGAGGAAATTTAATATATCATATATATTATTTATGTGTATATAGTTGAGCAAAAATTAAGTCACATTAGGTACTTTATAACATATACCTTAAAATGATCATTTTTCCTGATGCCCCTAAATTAAGAATTATCATACTTTCTTATGAAAAAAGAATATTTATTAATGAAAACAGAAAAAAGTTATTCCTTTTCAGGCACTTAACAAGTAAGTGACTTAACATAGTAAGCTTTTTTTTTAAAATATTTATTTATTTATTATGTATACAATATTCTGTCTGTGTCTATGCCTGCAGGCCAGAAGAGGGCACCAGACCCCATTATAGATGGTTGTGAGCCACCATGTGGTTGTTGGGAATTGAACTCAGGACCTTTGGTAGAGCAGGCAGTGTTCTTAACCTCTGAGCCATCTCTCCAGCCCCATAGTAAGCTTTTAATAAAGACCTCCAAAAAAAAAAAAATGCCATCAAAAAATAAAACACAGCCAGTATAAATCAATGCTTTATTTGTAGCAAGTCTTCCCACTTAAAAATGTTCACCATTGAGAAAAGTATAAATAATATCTGTAAAATATATAATATGATCAGTCAATGAAAGAGAGCAATGAATGATCACATAAAGATACCACAGGAAGACCAAAAGCTCAGGATAGGTCGAGGTAGTAAACTAAAGAAAGAGCTCAGGTTTATAGGCACCAACACAGTTCAGATTCTACAGATTTTAACACATTATGTTAACTATTTATGTTTTGGGTCAAGCGTATTTAGACAGGCAGGTACAGAAGATAATATGCCATTGCTCCCCTCTGTCTGCAATGAGCATGAGGTCAGTGGCTGAGAGGAGTTCGGCAGTTCTGCTCTGAATACTCTGGAGGAAGCGGATGTTTACAGTTCAGCCAAGGGCAGGGCTGCCTGTACGGGAACTTCGCTCTAATAGTCTCCAAAGAGCTACTCCTGATGAGAACCAGCTCACCCAGAGAGGGTATTTAAAGGTCTTTTTACTTTACTTGCTCCTTTATCTTTTTATTTTCTTTTTTATTTGTACCTGAAACCATCATCTTTTGGTATATTCACTGGTAATCACCAGCTGATACTTTTGCACTTTCTTTTGGAATGTGTTCCAAATTCATTTTTAATTCATTTTAAGTTAGTGAATATTATTTCTACAAAGTAAGGGCTTTCATGGCAGCATCCATTCACAGACCTTAAGCTAGTGCCACCACTGCTCTGGGTAGTACTCACGTGAACATCAGGTTAGCAAGAGACACTGCCTGACAGTCTTTCCTCTGCCACATTTAAAACAGCTATATTATGTTATTAGTTTGACATTTGTAGCTGGGTAGGGTGGGGCCTGTCTTTAATCCCAGCTACAGAGACAGGTAGATTCCCATAAATTTGAGGCAAGCCTACTGTAAATATCAAGTTCCAGGACAGCCAGGAATACATAGAGAGACTAGTTCCAAAATAAATAAATAAATAAATCTCTTATTATTAAATTTACTTATTTTTTTAATACAGTGGTACCTTTTCCTCCTTACCTGACTACCGGGTTTGTTTTATGGTACCAAGTATAGAAGAAGGAACCACATACATACTGGGCAACTGCTTGGTCACTGACCTATAAGCCCAGGCCTCTTATGACTACCAATCTCTGAAATAAAGTTTTTTCTTCATAAATCTAAGCATTAAAAGTCTCGTGTCTATAATCCTAGCAGGTTTCCATACGTTCAAGGACAAGCGGGACTCTAGAACTAATCTTACAATAACATCCCTCCCTCAAAAGAAAGGATGGGAAAAACAAACAAACAACAACCCAACACTGGCACTTGGTCACCACAGAGCAGTCATTCAAAGGGTTAGACAGCAACTTCTCGTGGGAAGAAAATCGTATCTTCCTTGTGAGTTCTATAATCCAACAATTATGAACTCGTGCACATTAGATACAAACTAAAGCATAGCATTTGGTCATGATTTTCCCACCCTAGAGTCCTACACGTGTGCCTAACAGTGAGAGTTTCAGGACGGTACAGAGCACAGCTCCCTTTGCACCACATACCTACAGTAGGGCTCTGCTTCTGTTCCACAAGAGTTCGTGGTGTTCGAAGATAGTTGGCATTTTCAGAAACAACCTGCGTAGAGCAAACAAAGAGTGAAATATGCCAACAAAATGAATGTAAAAATCCATTTTAAATGCAGCCTGTTCCAGGCAGACAAAGGTTAATAAGCTGTATGATAAATATTAGTAGAAATATTTAAAACATGAAAGATCATGCAAGATCCCTTCTGAAGGGAGTCCAGTTTCATGAGGTCCTTGCAGTGAAGTGGTGTGAAGCAAGCATTCAGAATGGAACACGACAGATGAAGGGAAGCGATCCACAGACTGATGGAATTTCACTGTCTCTTAAGAGAAGCCCACTGCCCCTGCTAAACAGCTCCTGTATTTAGAGGAAAACAACCACAAACCAGAGAGATGCCAGACAGACACTGTTGAAATCACCATACAATTTCTGATCCATGCATGGGCTTTATCAGAGTAACCTTTAAATAGTCAGCCTTAGTGGATACCATAATCCCTTTTCCTATAATCCAATGCATTACGTTTCCAAGAGGAAATAGCTGAAATAATCAGAAGTCATGTGACGGCAGACCTTCCATTGTAAAATCAGAGTTTTAGTTTCAAATGTCATCAAAGAAAGTCCTTCTGACGTTACTTTCATGGGAACCACGTTTACAAATTCATACATGCCTGCTGTTGTGTTTGGGAAACACACTGTATACTTCAAGTTATGTACTTCCAGATAAGGGAGTCATAGAGACCAATCAATATCAGATATCTGCCGCTAATTAAGACCAGGCCACATAATTTTTGATGTTTTTAAAATTTTCACAATCACAAAATTTCTAAATGGAATGAAGTGATAATGAGGGGGTATCAAATATTCTTACCATCAAATTGTATTGATTTTGTTTCTTGAAGTTTACAGGACAACTATGGTTAAAGAAAGATTTCTTTCTTTTCTAAATCATTTTTTTATTAGCATGGTTAAAAATCCAGGAGAATTAGGATTTTTAAAACTCCTGTGTATTTAAAAGTTTGCCAGTAAAAACACTAAATGCACTCAACCTAAGTGGTTTCCTTCCATCAAATGTTGCCCCATATTGGAAGTACTTTTAAGTGAACTCAAATTTAAGACAGAAGGATTTCCTCTATGTAAGCAAGGGATTAGATGTCCTCAGAAATAGCTGTTTGTTGCTCTGAATGCAGGAATGGAAAATGTTTAATGAAATAAAGTTTAAAAACCTGTTGCCATGAGCCAAAAATACTGGATGTGAAAGCCAATGATTTGGGGGAGACAGGGGAAGAGGTGATTTGTTCCCCTGATCTGCGTCTTCGACGCCCAGTACCCACACCACTGGTATAATGCAGCCAGGTACCAGTACCCTCTGGGCTAGACACACTCAGGGGGCTCTCTTCCTGGAAGTAAGAAAAAGGGCAAAAAAGAAAAAAAAAAAAGAAGAAAAAAAAAGCAGAGCATGCAAAGTTAGATACATTAGAGCCAAATGATCAGGAAGAAAAAAAATACAGTTTATTTGCATTTGCTAATCAGTTTTTCCCCTCAAAGCCAAATTATTACTTGTTTGTGAGCCAAATATTTAAATCCCTAAGAAATTCTAGAATCAGCAAATAGCACCAACAACCATGGAAAGATTGCAAGCTATATTGTCTACTAGCTGCTCTTCTCCCTGAAATCTAAAAAGTCAGTGTTGCTTTTGAGTGGAAATTATTTAAATATAAAAGGTATTTTGATTTATTTTAGATATTAGATATTAAAAAGATTTTGTGCTAATTTTAGTTGGATTTTTCCATCTAAAGCACCAAGGGGTAAAATGAATCGATGTGTCACTTAGAAAAGGAAATGAGTCGGCCATAGGTGTAAAATTCAGAGGGGTAAGATGGATAGAGATCTCAAGTTCCAGTGTCTGTGCTCTGTGGCCAGCCTTTCTGGGAGAGCCGGGAAGCTCAGGAGACCAAGCCTACGGCCGACTCCCTCATTCGGCACACTGTCCAGCTCTGTGTGCCTTTTGGAAAAACAAGCTTCTGACATCCAGGGAGATAGAGGAGGCTGGAAAAAGTCTCCAAGTTTTTAATTGAATAATTTATCTTACGAAAATAAGAGTTTGGCACAACATAGAAGTAATCTCTTCAAAGTAACTATTTAAACATTCATAAGAAAATGTTTTAAAAATGTGTGCTGAGTTTTAAGAACTAACCACAGCAGTAGTTCTATTGAAGGACTTATTCTAGTGATATACAGATCTTCTGGAGGGCAGAGGAAAAGGTATAATTGTGAAATTTTAAAGAATTTGATTGACCGAAAATTGTTTGTTCATTAGTGTCAAAAGCACTGCCTTCACACAAACGGTGGTTTAAGTTCTATTAGTTTAGGTAATTTCTATTTTGGGGTGTTTTTTTTTTCTATGGTTAAAGATATCTGGACAAAGTTTCATAAATTCCAGTTTTTTATTGAATTTTAGTAGAACAAATGATCAGAAGTAGTTAATGTCCCTCTTCTTTTTAAATTAATCTTTTATAATTAAGTTTAAATAGCATATTAAAGAAACACTAGCACAATTTCTTTATAAAGTTATGATGATAAACTTCATGAAGAGTTTCCCCCAACATATAAATGTCAATTATTTAAAAATTCAGAACACTTATATTATTGTTATAAATGGGGTGAGTGGAAATTACCACAATTTTTTTTGTCCCTTATATTATAGTCAAGTGCTTGATAATGTTAAACATAATTCTACGTCTTTTGACATATAAACATCCAACAGAAAGTATCTAATTTAAGAGTTATTGGTCTTTCTCCTAGGAGCTTGACTTTTTACTTCCTATGAAGAGATTTAGAAAAATTAAGCACTGGCCTCAAACAATACTAGGAAGATCGTAGACAAACTAGGTAACTCAAAGTTTAAAGCACAAAATACTTATTGATAGTAAAAGTTAATTTAAGCTTCATCCTAACTCTCAACTTTACTTTTATGCTGTTTAAATATTATTTAAATATTATTCCATAACTGAACATAATTGGTTTTACTTAATTATAGATCTTAATAGAAAATTAAAATTTTTCATCACTATATCATCAAGCTTTCAAATTCCTATGTATATTTCTGCCACCAGGCTAATAAAACCTACAGTATTACTAGAATCAGGTATCATTTAAGCTTCTCAGGGAATTCTTACTTCCTTTTATCAAAAAACATTACTGAAACATTAGGCTTTTATCAAGTTATTTACTGAAGAATAGCTAAAGTGACAGAAGAAAACTGGATGAGCCAATTCAACTCTTAATCAGCCTCAATCCCAGCTTCGGTAAGCGCTGCCAGGAGAGCCACACAAACTCTAGTCTTAACACTGATCTCTCGGGTTTCCTTTGCTCATTTGTTCTGCAGAGTGTAAGCCAGACTGGCCTCAGCTTCATTAAGAAGTCAAGGGTGACTTTGAATTCCTGATCTTCCTGCCTTTACCTCCAGAATGCTATGACCATAGGTAGCTGCTACTAGGCCTGGTCGATTCGGTATGTTTTTAATAGCATCTCTCTCTTTTGTTAATATTTGTTTGAAAAAGATAGATAATGTTGATAATTAAAAATTTGTCAGGGTTCCTAGCAGTAAAATTAAAGCTGTATTTTCTTTCCAGTTTTAATTAATATGTAGTTAGCTTCCTCTAAACAAAGCACTCTTCGTGGGTACTCACTTCATTTGTAGGCACCTTCCGAGACCTTGGAAGTGGTGACTTCCGGTGTATATGAATTGGCTCTGATACCATGGGCTTAAACAATATTACAGCTCGATCGACTTCATCTCTTTTAGAAGTATGAGGTTCATCATCATCAGGTTTAAGAGACCTTCTGCCTTCATTCTATGAGAAAAGAATACACAGTACTTAAAATTCAGATTAAAACAACTCTCCTGAGTCAGGTGCGATGGTACATCCCAGTAATCCCAGAACTCTGGAATCAAGAATTTGAGTCCACAGAGTAAGAAGACATCATTAACCCTCCCAAACAAACTCTGAACACCAATAAAATGCTTCTGATAAATCTAACAACCAACTAGAATAGTTATAACATAAAAGTGTTTCCTCAAGTGAATTGATATTAATGTAATTCTTAGGACATCTTAGTGTGCCAGGTACTGTGAGAGACAAGTAAGTTCTGTGGGAGAGTTAAGCCTAAAATCATAACTATAACCATAGAAAACCCAGTCTTTATCCAAAGTTCATCAAACAAGCAAACAGATAAACAATACAGTCAAATGACAATGAAAAATGGACTACAAATTTAAAAAATTCCTGTAGTTAAATTCTACAGTAAATACAGTGTGCTAAGAACTCTGATAAATGAGACATAGTCCCAGGTTATAAGAATCTTACAGTATAGGAAACAGACAAGTTAAAACTTATACCAGTATCTACCTGGAGTAGAAAGAGGAAACTAGGTCATAGACATTCAGCAAAACACAGGTTTTAAAGCAAGAAGAACAAAAAAGCCAGGGGACTTCACCAAAAACGATCATTAAGCTCCAATAATCAAGACTGATGCTGATAGAGACAAAAAGGTCAAAGGAATAATAGTAAATTAAGAGTTCAAAAATTAACTCACTAAAATAAGAATGTGTTCAGAATATCAGAAGTGGTAGTGCAGACAATTGGAAAACATTCTTCAATATATGATTTTGTTTTTGTTTTTGTTTTTTTGTTTTTCGAGACAGGGTTTCTCTGCGGTTTTGGAGCCTGTCCTGGAACTAGCTCTTGTAGTTATTTACACAGGAAAACAAGAAAAGTCCCTGGATTTCATATCACACATATCATATCAAAGAAAAAAATTAATGTCATTAAAGAAATATGGAAAAAATACAATACCAAATTTAAAAAAGTATCAGGAAAGATTAAAGAAAATTAATATAGCACAATCTGCCTAGGAAGTTAAGCTGCAACACAAAGGTACTATGCTAAGGAAATATACATATACATTACAATTGAACATTATTGTGATACAATTACTACTCTAAAGCACTAACACTCTAAGTGTAAATAAATAGTGACTATATATAAACAATAATGGCTGTGGAGTATGTCGTAGATTCAAAAAATATGTAACAAACAGAATATAAAAAACGAGATAGAGAATTTAAAAAAATTAAAGTATCTCAAGACACACTACATATTCGACTAAGTCATGTTATTAACCTCATGTTAACCATTAAAAAATAATAGTGTAAAATAAAGATGTCTCATGTATGAAAATTTCAAAGAAGGCAGCGAGAAAGGAAGGAATATAAAACACATAGAACAAAGAAAAAAACAGTACGATGGTTGAATATTCCATAATAAATTGCAAATAAATCATATTTTATTTATTACATGTTATAATTAAAAGACAAAGACTGTGAGACTAGATAAAAAAACAAAAATACATCCTATTTAATAAGAAACACATTTTAAACATATGAATCCAGACAGGTTGAAAGAAATGAGTTGAAAAATTATACAAGAGAAACATCACGCAACCATTCTCAGCTATGTCACTGAGCAAATCCTAACAAGGACTGACATGGCAGGAGCCACTTCATGTAATTAGTCAGTGACTCTTACACGCATCTAAACAGAACTGAACATGGTGACTGAAAGGATTTTATATTATGTGGTTCAAATGTGGAACCTGAGAATGGCGTAGAAACCAAGAACAAAAACATTAGATATAAAAAGGGACCTTTCATCATGAGAAAATAGCTAATTTATAAGGAAGATGGTAAAAATATGATTAGAAACAGACACATATACACTTGAGAAAACGGCAATAATATGTATACCAGATTATTTTTGATTGATAGCTAGCTATTGGTGCTCCCTGGCTACACCTTACAGTTATGGTAAATTATGAATATATCGGCTTCGTTTAGCACTAAACACCTATTTTTATTAAATACGACCATGTGGGTAGAGAGTTATTCAATAGTTACCCAGCCAATTTCTTCATTAGAAGGAAGCAAAAAGATATCCTGTCAGGTGACTATAGCAAAGAAAGTCAAGTACAGGCTTAACTTTTCTATGTAATTGCTTGTTTGATATTACTTCCCCATCAATGTATGGACAAGACAGGTCCAAAAACATTAAAGACAAAACACTCAAATCATTCTCTGACAACTTGCCTTTAAGCCAGTGGCTCCTAGGAAAGGCCCAGTATACTTTCAACATGGTTGGAATTATATCTTATGTCTCAAGTCCAGAAACCAAGGAAAAGAGTAAACTGGTGAATAAAATACGTTCACATAATGCAGCTAACATGATAATTTAGTTAACAGTAAATTTATAGCTTCATGTGAAATATGAGAAACAGAGAACTTCAAAAAGATGGTCTGACTTTGGATCAACTTGCGTGGGACACAGGACAAAGGAAATGGAAGCAGAAGGATGGAGACAGTACAACAGCAGGTGAAGCTCAAGACGCGCGGATGCAGACAGCCGCTCGGAAACTGTTGGCTCCTGAAAAGATCAAGATGCCAGAACTTTCCAAGGCTCATTAAACAAACAAGCATGGATATGAAGAATTACTGATAAAAAATAAAAAACATCATTACACGTCTCACAGAAAATAAAAAGATAATCCAAGAATATCATTGACAACTATAGACCCTCAATTTGAAGTTTTACAGAAAACCAAAGTATATATATATATATATATATATATATAACCTAACATGTATTAGACATGGAAACTCTAAATTGTACATCAAATAAATTGATCAAATAATTAAAATATTCATAAATAATTTTAAGTTACACACGGTAGTTTCCTAAACAGCAAAATTTAATAATTAAAAAAAAATCAGAACATAATCATGCCAGTTTTTGAAAACATGCTCCAGAAAGCACCTAGTCCCAAACACAGTAAGGCGGAAACAGAAGAATCCACTCTAAGTGCTCAGCACTGTGTTCAAGATGAAGTAGTCCTCAAACAAAATAACAAAAAACTACATGTACTTACCCATTCTAAACAAAAGCTCAAAATCCAAACAATCCAAATCAGAAAAAATTCTGAAATTTTCTAATAGACATGAACATGTTATTTACTCAGATTGCATATATATTTAAAATTTTTAAAGAATGATTTATTTTTATTTTTGTGTATGGTTGTTTTGCCTGCATGCATCTCTGAGTACCATGCCATGTGCATGATGCCCACAGAGGCCAGAAAGAGCCTCACGTCTGCCTGAAAGTGGAGGTATAGACATATGAGCCACCATCTAGGTGCTGGGAGTAGTACCTGCAGTCTATGAAGGAACAGGGAGTACTCAACTGCTGAGCCTTCTCTCCAGGTCCCGCCGATTATTCTTAAAAGCTGAAAAATTTCCCCTACTAGTTGATATGAAAATTATTTATAGAGCAGTGCATGAAAGGCTAGAGCTGCGGTAACCGTGCACCGAGAGCCCCATCTTCATTACCTCTCTGGAAGCTGGCCGATACCCATAGCCAGACGGTAAATTCTTATCTTCTTCACAGCCTTTGGCTCCGGGACTAAAATGTAATTCAACATGAAAGCGTTCCTCAGAGGAAAGATCCTGAAACATATGAAGGTACACTTGCTCAGTGGGGAACGTCTAGTGTCTGCTCTCGCTGGTCACATGAACACATCACGAGCCCATTACCTTGTTGGGGTCCTCATAAAGCATGATGACAATCTGCGTCATGTAGTTGAGCTCATTGACAACGTTTAAGTAATCCATAGCTCGCTTCCACTGCTCATCCTTTGAGTCCTGAACGAAAGGTCTAGGGTCAGTGTTTCTATAGCCTTTCACATGAAGGTCACTTTATCCCCACTGTGACAGCTTATTTAATGCTGATGTCACCACACGTGTCAGGGGAATAGAAAAACTATTTGCAAAATTTATTACATATTGAGATAGTTCAAACTTTCAGAGTGAGTTCTTCAAGACAATTTACACAAAGAAAGAAAACCTCTTGAAATATAACATATGCTACTGAATTCTGAGGGTAAGGAACAGCTTTTTTAACCTTGTAAGTCTGAAAGCGCCTAGCAGAGTGTTCTGCCTCCTAACACAGAATATTATCGTCCAAGATTATCACTTCTCTCTCCAACATATTATATATGGTTCAAGTATGCAGCATACGCTTAACAAAAAATACCTCCTAAAGGGATTCTAAAATAATCAGCATGAGGAGACATACATCAATCATTTGATCTTATCACCTCCATCACCATCTCTCCATCTTACGTTAGAGATTCAATCTTTACACATATAACCTATCAGAGTTGAAAAGGATCATAAGAGAATGAGAACACTCAAGACAGAGCACTCTATCTGAAATGAAGAAAGAACTCCAAGCACAAGGTCTGTGTAAAGTCAGCATGTCAATGTATAAACCCTCTGAGCAGCACAGAAAAGGTTCCTTCATTGTCCATTTATAACAAACATTACAAAGATGTGAAAATACTCAATAGTTTCCTTATAAACCCTTACAATCACAGTAAGGTTGTAGATAGTGAATTATCCAACAAGCTCTAGTCCAACTGCAGGGTCTTACTCAAGCTGCATCATCTCTAACAGTGCCCTTACCATTTTCCCCAGATTCCCTTGTCTATCCTTTGTCCACAAAGCAGCAACAGCCACCGACCTCTGCTTAAAACCCTTCTGGTCCTCTGAGAACACAAACCACCGTCTTCCTCTCTTACTTGGGTCGGGCTATACTTGGGCTGCAGAACAAGCTTCCTGTTCTTCTTTGTATCCCTCACACATGTTCGACATGTTAGAGATGCAGCTGTTATTCTCAAAGTCATGGCATTTCCACCACCGGCTATACACCTTCTTCTGTAGCTAAGTTAGGGTCTTGCTCACTCAGTCTAGCCCTTATTAAGGCTCTACCAACCCACATGTGTAGGCAAAGATGACACTTTTACTATTTCTTGCTACTTTCTGAAAGGAGTTAGTAAACCTAGGGTCTCGCACATGCTAGACAAGCCCGTACAACTGAGCTATTGCCCAAGCCCTCTTTGTGTACAGAGACTAAAGGGTCTAGTCAAGCCATGTAAAGCCAATGTCTCTGTTTCTTCACGGCAGCAGACATGCGAACAGTGCACTGAGATATAAGCCAGCGGTTTCCACACTGCCTGGATCACAGCCATGAGTCTACTCATCTGTATCTTCCTTACTGTGGTGGTCTGCACCCTTTCAAGATGTGAGTGAGAACAAAGCTGTCCTCTGTAAGTTGGCAGGTGCACTGTTGGAGCAGCAGCATAGAAGAGGCTGGCATAAGACTGTGGCTTTCATTAGCCTCGCAGGAGTTATTGATCATGTCTAATTTATCATATGATTCATTACCGAAGGAAGGTAAACATGTTTATATCCCCCCAAACCCAGTAAAATGCTTAGTACAGACTCGTATATCCTCAAGCAATGTTGATAAACCACAAAAATAGAGTAAATTATAATGAACAGTTAAAAAAATTTAGCTAATGATCTGAGTATAAACTCTCAAGAACAGTATTTGTCAGTTAGATTGAAATAGCCCATACTTACATCACACAACGCACCATAGCGAAGTATGGATAGTAAGGAATGTACATGGCTTTCACTAGTAAAATATAACCTGGTACGGACATGACGCTCAGGAGACAGAACACCTCTGGAATACCTAAAGTCAGAGCAGATTTTATGGAAATTAATCATCTCAGAAGCAAAACCCCATAATAAATAAATCTATCATTCTTCAAACCACAACTGAGTGTTACTTCTAATCAGAACAAAATAACACTCTAGACCTTCTGAGAATAATAAAAAGAAAGCGAAAACAAAAGAAAACATAAAAGAGCATTACTTAAGTTCACTGGAAAGAGATCAATTTAGTTCCTCTAGTAACAATAGCTAATAAAAAAAATAATAATGGCCTATGGGGTTCACACAATTTAAAACAGATAATTGGTGAAAAGCATCTTCCTAAACCCTTCACCTTGTTCTTTTCCATACTGGCACTATACAAAATCTTGGTTGAGATGGGCATGGGATATGGTGACTCTAATACCAGTATATGGGTACAGGCTAGATAGATTGCTACACTGAGGTCAGTCAGCGCGCGAGAGAGAAACACTATCCCAGAGACGTAGGTCGGTAATAGATCATATGCCTATGGCATGCTTAAGTCTGCTCCCCCATCACAGGTAATCAACAGGACTATCTAGGTAATCCTATCTCCATAAGATATCAAGTGAAACACTCTTGATTTCTGTATAAAAGCACCAGTAAGTACTTTAGATTTGAAAGACACAAAACCAGATGCAGATAGTCTGAGCAACTGGTCCAGTCTCTTACACAGGGTGGAGCTTGTTTACAGTGTCGTCGTCTTGTGTCCTCTGAAGGTCTGACCGGATTTTTCTCACTAAAGGAGTGCAGTAGCCTTTGGCAATCTCCAGTTTTTCAGCTTTGGTTATACCATACTCCTAAGCAGGAAGAAAAAAAAAAACAAAAAACAAACAATTAAATTAGAAAAAAAAAATCAACAAATGCATTCCTGAAGTAAAGAACTCTAGTGAGACACAAGTATTACGTTTACCCTCTTAGTACATTAGACAATTCTTAGCTTGCATTTTTTGCAACTACAAATATATTCTTTTCACACTAGCATGTGTAGTTACAAGAATTTATGGTGGAACTGAAAAAGCAGTTTACCACAAGAAGAGGGAAGTATGCATGGACGAATAAAAGCTTTATGACTAGCCAAGTTTCATCATAAGGTTTTAAATACAACAACAATTTTAAGTCAAAAATAAATTGAGGTCAGAGGGTTTTTGTTTTGCTTTAACCAAATACATAAGTAATTACCAATAAAGAAGTGAAACTAAAATCATTCTAATATCAACATTCAAAAAGTCTAATATATTTTTCTAAAAAAAAAAAAAAAAAAAAAAAAAAGCCTCTGGCTAACCTGAAATGGGAGTGTATGTGTTTATTTCCAGCAGCTGGGAGGCAGAGGGAGGTGGATCTGTGAGTTCAGGGCCAGCCTGATCTATATAGTTACAAACTAGCTAGGATCACAACATGATCTGAAAAAAAAAAAAAGTCTCAAAAAAAACCCAAACAAACCAGTAACAACAACACAACAACAACAACAACAAAAGAAACAAGCCTTTGTCTAGTATTACTCAGGTTTAAACTAGTGGTAAGCAAAGCTGAGATAAAATAATAAATAACATTTGTCATCCATAACCACTATGGGCTAATTAGATTTATAAAGAATTAATGTAATGTAAAATATTAAGAAAGCAAGTTAATTGCAACAAGGTTTAATGAATGATATCCTTCAAAATCAGGTATTAGAAAGTGATCTGAAATCTAAATGGAACATCTGGTCTACTATTAATGACTAGCGTGATGCAGCAATAGCATGAATGCCATGGAGACACAACACTTTGATTGCCTTTAAAGCTGTGTGTGTGCAAGATGAAGCTCTCCAACTCTCCAACTGGGCCAAAAAGCCTGTGGATGACCTGACCATAGAAGAAAACCTTGCATTATCTTTCTACTAAATAGACACAATATTAAACTCCCTTCACAATTCTTATCTTGATATTCATCAATTAATAAAGCTCTCGATACTCCTCAGCTGAGCTCAATTGTCGTAGATAGCAGGTCAAAACTCCAGCACAGATTGGGGAGAGGCTCATTAAGCCAGCCCTGTCTAAGGAGCTATTGGTAACTGGTGACTGCTGGGGAAGAGAGAGTCAGACTGCAGGACTTGGGTCCTGAGAAGCTACTTGCGCTTCAGTAGATGGCCCCACACCCACGTGCATACGAGCAGTGCTAAACGGAACCAGTGGGAAGGTTTTAAAAGGAGAGCATATGAAACTGGATAGAAAAGTGGTGAGGTATTGGGGAAATTGATGAAGATGATTGGAAATTAGACTTTTTTAAAATGCATGTATGAATATTAAATAAAACTTTAAAAACTCTGGTTTGTAAAGAAGGCAAGAGGGGAAACGGCAAAAGGAAGGAGCACAGTGGGGACCCAGGCAGAAAGGTAGGGGAATGTGGGAGATGGAGGAAAACTATCCAACCTCCTCTGTACGGGACCATTCTGGGACATTTCTACTAAGCGAAAAATCCTCAATGATTCAGATGGCAAACCCCACCATACATAAGAGATCTTGAAAATCCATGACAGTAATAAATAACAAAAATGTCTATTTAATACAGAGTAATACAGAAAGGTCACTTGCTGCACTTTCTGATTGTTTTGTTTTTGATCAACTTGATAACAGTTGGAAACGTCTGAGGAGCGGGAACTACAAGTGAGTAAGTAAATGCCTCCAACAGTCTGGCCTGTAGGGCATATTATAATGGATGATTGATGTAGAATAGTACAGCTATCAAGGGTGCTGCCATCCCTTGGCAGGTGGTCCTGGGGTATATAAGAAAGCAAACCAGCAAGCCCATAAGCAGTGTTCCTCCATGGTCTAGGCTCCAGTTTCTGCCTCCAGGTTTCTGCCCGACTTAAGCTCCTGCTCTGACTTTGTTCAAAGGACTGCGACTGATAAGTGACAAACCTTTCCTCCCCAAGTTGCTTTCTGCTAGTGTCTCTCTCTCTGTTTTTGTTTTTTTTTTTTTTTTCCCCGAGACAGACAGGGTTTCTCTGTAGCTTTAGAGCCTGTCCTGGAACTAGCTCTTGTAGACTAGGCTAGCCTCAAACTCACTGAGATTTGCCTGTTTCTGCCTCCCAAGTGCTGGGATTAAAGACATGTGCCACCACCATATGGTGCACTAAGTTTTCTAAATTCGGTCAATAAATTTTAATATAATGGCTTAATATATAAACACAAAGGTATATAGACATAAATTAAATGTATTAGCAAATTAAAGGAAAATGCTGGAATAAAAATAATCAAGAAAAAAATAGTTTGAAATTTGATTTAGCAAGGTATAATGAAATTTTCATACACTGCTAATCTTGGTAAGAAATCAGAGTTCTAGTTATAGGAGTGTAAAATATGTAAAAAGGCAGTGAAAGAAATGAGAGTCTAGGTTTCCAAATAAAAAGTTAGTTTGTTGGGTTCTACGTATACCAATCAGTCAATGAGAATAATAGCAACAATAATGAGAATTTTGATGACTAACATATAGTCAGACAGTTTTATTGATATGGAAAGAAGTTCCCAATGCTAAATGCACAAAGTTATCTCCTAAGAGTGACTTACCTGAGGGATAACAATGTCTGCCAATGCCTTTGACAGTCTATATAGTTCCATTGTATTTTCTAACTTCAAGGAACCGTTGTGCTGAACATCATATTTGATGCAGTCATATATGTCAGGGATTTTACTAATATCATATCTTCCATTCTTTGTTTTAAAGTCTTTCTCCAGCTTGGACCATCTTCGCAGCATAAGTTCCAGAGTCTCACTATGGTACAGCTGAATATCTAAAACAACATACAATTTTTAGTATGTCCAAATTAAAAATCTGATAAGTAACATATCTTAAAGTTTACTAGTATTCTCTGTAGCTTTCTCTGGCCTAGGATTCCTTATTCTTCTTGTTCAGCTTCTCTAGTGCTGTGATAACTATGTGCCGCCATGACTGGTTCCCTATAATTAGAAAACTTTATAAAGAAAAAGACCTTATAAGGAGCTAGAAAGTACTGCTACCCACATATATCACATACACTGGATTGTTGCAGGCTTGGGTAAGTACTTAGTCTAAGCATTTGGATTAGGAGCCTGATTCAATTATGAAATCTTTTACATATGTTACAGATTTTGATACCAAGAATTACAGCAAAACTCTTTGAATTAATATGCTTTCTATTCTAAAATTTAAATACTTTACTTTTCTAAATTCCTATAACTAAACAGAATAGGTAATTGTATTTGTATGCAATAGTTTTAAATATTAAGAGTCGTATGAATGAACCATTTTCATCACCAAGAAATCTAGAATGTCAACAATTTCCAACTAACCTCGTAACAGAGTTTTCTGCTTCTTTCTGTGCTACCTATTCTCTGCTTTAATATCTAGGAATGCTAAACAACTCAATAATCAAATAAAAGGATTTTACTGTCTTTCTCTTACTATCATGGATAAAATGACCATAACCTAGCTATTATTCCTTGCTGGATAGATACACTCATTCATACTACAACCAAAACTGAAATAAGAGACTTGGAATCATAATATTACACCTTATTTTAAATGTTTACCAAAAAAGGACAGTACTTTCTGTTTTACATTCTAAGAAAAAATATTTACCGGATGATTTGGGATCTTCCATACGATGTCTGATTTGAGAAGTCAAACTTTGAATCAAGGAATATACTTTGTCACAGGTTTTCACTGGATTTTTAATTAAATGCATTGACTTGATAACAGAAATGCTTCCAGATGGAGTAAGCTACAAATGAATAAGATAAGTGTTTTCTAAATAGTTATGTACCATTATCCAAGAGAACAAATATAGACCTTTCCACAGCTGGGAAAATAATTACATTCTATACACTAAGAGATTTTGCATATAGTAATATGATCTGTATGTTAAAAAAGGGGTGTGAAAGTTTCAGAATTTCATGCTGAAACAATATTAAACTTTAACTAAAATTAAATTACCTTCAGAAAAAATCAGAAGTACTCTAAATTAAAGGATGAGATTCGATGAGAATTTGATGATTGCTATTATGTGCAAATATGGTTCTAACCACTTGACATATACCTACATCTAATACTAGGCATTTACAATCATCATCATCTTTCCCCTGTGAGTTAATGAGGTGAAGTAATTTGCTTAGATGAAGTATCTAGCATAAGAAGGAACAGGATTCAATCATAGAAAGGCTGCATGCAGAACTCATACTATTAACCTCTATGCTACTAGACTTTGTTAAAAAGGTTTTTTTTTTTTTCCAATTCAACGAAAGCCAATAATCAGTAGTGATTATAAATTCAACTTTTAACATTTACCTTGGCAAGATATTTAGCCAAGTGTAGTGGGTTTCTACAAATACAAAAAATACAAAGAGAAATTGCAGTTTAGATTACAGCAGTCTAGGTTTTTGTTTTTGTTTTTGTTTTTTTTGACCAATGTAACTGCTGAAAGTAAGTGAAAACTCCACGGAGAAAAGCTGTTTTTATTCTTTTTTTTTTTTTTTTCGTTACAGCATCCAAAAGACAACAAAGTCAAAAAGAATTATAAAAGCAAAACAAAATGGCCAGTGATGAAGAACTTGAGCCTGATGTTAAAAGACCTGTATTGGAAATATTTGTTGATTCTAAAGAGATGCTGAGGAGAAATCCAATATTGCTGAACTAAGAGCACCAGGCTCAAAATGCAGTCCCGGTTTCACAAAGGTAAATGTATGGTAAACAGTCTGTATGTAGGAGTCAAGAAAGAAAGGATGCATTAGAGGCAAACCAAGCCAAGCAACAGATTACAGATCAGTCAGTTAACTGGGTGGCTAAGAAAAATGTGTTTGTTAAACAGATTTAAAGAAATCCAGGATGATTTACTCAGATGTATAGAAGGAACAAATAAAAATAAAGAAGATAAAGTTATCTCAAAATCAACTTATTATAATCATCAAAATCTTACAGTACATGAACAAAAAAGCTTGAGATAGGCTGGAGTTGGCTCAGCAGTTACGAGCACTGGCTTCTCTTTCAGAAGACCAAAGTTCAATTTCTAACATTCACATGCAGCTTTTACAACATTCCCTAATCCCAGTTCCAGGGCATCAAGCACCCTCTTCTGGCCTCTGCAGGCACCAGGCACACATGTGGTGCACAAACATATGCAGGTAAAACACTCTTTTTTTATGTAAAAACAATAAAATAAATAAGTTTAAATTTTTAAAAGAAGCTGGACAGGCTTTAGCTAGCAAAAGCAACAGAGAGAGAGAGAGAGAGAGAGAGAGAGAGAGAGAGAGAGAGAGAGACAAAGAATATCAAATAAATAAAATCACAATGGAAATGGAGACACTTGGAGATATAAAAGTTCACTAGGGAGTACTATGAAAAATCATGCATATAATCTATAAATCCCAGAGTGGGATAAGCTTCAGATACATAACATCTATCAAAATGGAGTCATAAAAACACAGGAAACCTGAAGCAAACAGTAGTGAATAACACCTTCACGAGGAATGAGCACTGGCAGCTCTGCGCCACTGTCAAGGTGGTGTGCAGAACACGTGTGCTGGGCTAGTGGGATTCTCTGGTTGTATGAGTCATTCCGTAAGAGGGAAAAAGAACACTAAGTCCCTAGAGATTCCTGAGGCATAATCAAACATCAAAGAGTATCACACAGAAACTACACAACAGGTCTCAAATGAGTAGCTGGTATAACTAGAGCAGCCACCAAGGCAGCCACACAGAAGAGGCTAAGAATGTCATGATGGAAGTGATAGGAGCCATAGCAGAAGAGACACTGGCAAGGTCAGTAGAGATCTGATGCACTTAATGTTCTGTTATATTACAAATGTGTCTTTATTATTGACATAATGAAGTCAGATTTTATTTGTACAGTATTCACTCTGAATATTTCAGATAAGAGAAGATCAGAAAAATTTCTACAGATCTTCTGTGCATAAGCCATATTCAAAAGGTGAAATATCTTTTAAGAAAAAGAAAACGCATTTTATTATTTTACTGATTGTTGTTTGAATTTATGAGAGCAAAGATGTTAAACAGAGAAATATGGCAAAAAAGACAGTGTGTGATAAAACTTTAAATAATAGCTAAACCTTCTTAACTGTGATCATTTGCATAAAATACAATTTTTAATATAGTATAATAGTAAAAATTATAACCTATTAAGGGTGTCAATTTAAGCTGTAAAAAAAAGATACAAGTAGGAACAAAAATCTCCCAAGTAAGAGATGTTTAACACTAGAAACTGTTACTGCTCAGTTCTATCTAGATTTTAAAACTGACACCAATTCATCTCAAATTATCCCACAAACACTGAAAAGGAAAGAGACATTCCAAATTCCTCCACAAGATCAGCATTTACCTGATATCAAGACCCAACAAGGAGGAAGGAAAGAAGGGGCAAGGAAAGGGAAGCAGAACAAGGCAGGGAGGAAAGGATTTATAGATCTATATCCCTGATAAATGAACATAAAACTCCTCAGTAAAACCTGGCAAACCAAGCACAACATCACATGAGGAAGATTATATGTCATTATGACATTCTTAGGTGAGACTTATCCTAAGGGTGTGATGGAGGGTCAGTACACATTCAGTAATGCTGCAGGACAGAGTCAGTAACCAGGAGCATTCTTGTGTTATAATTAACAGTGTCTAAGGATAAAACTAAGAAAGGCAGAAAGGAGCTGAGGGTGAACATTCATTCCTGTCTCTTGACTGTGAATGCAGTGTGCTCAGCGGCCTCAACCTCCAGCTGCTCATCATCTCTACCACGATGAGCTGTAACTTTGAACTGTGGACCAATTAAACCTTTTCCTCCTTAAATAGCTTGTATTCGGACATTTGATCATAGCAACGGGAAAAGTAACGTCAACACGTTCAGGAAACCTAAAATATTTATTATGTCATTCTTTACACAAAAAACATACCGGTGCCTCAAACAGACGACTCTAAAGCAAAGATTACTAATGACCTGTGGAAACACCAAGAGCACAGATGAATTTCACAAACTCCAGGTGAGCCAAGAGCCTGCTGGGACCTACCTTTTCATAGTCCTCGGCTGTAAAATCTCGGTCCTTCTGAAGTATTTCATGAAGCCGTGCTTTCACACGCTGCTGACAATTACTCAAGGAGTCGCTGTCGCTGTCCAAGAGGCCGTTCATATTGGCACTTTTCACCATCTGAACAAGAATGGGGGTAAGCTCTCCTTCTAGAGCCAACAGACCCTAAGTACAAAACAAAAATTTAAAAAAGGTCAATGGTTTAAACATATGTAAAGTAACAGGCCATCAGTCATTTTATGAAATGCTATATCTCATCATGCATAAGCTACTCATCACATATTAACTTTACTAATATCATACTTCATCTTTGTCAGTAATGGCTTTAATTGCAATTAAAATACTGCCTTGGTAGAAGTCTCCAAGAAATAGTTGATAAAAATTATAATAAGTATAAAGCCGTCTCTACCTTTGCAAAAGCAGCCGCAGTCATCTGGACCCGCCCTTCATCAGAGGCATAGATTTTGAGGTCATGTCGGTAGGTGCTATGCAATCGGAGTAAGCCACAACCCGGAAATCCTGCATAATCTCCTGAAAATAAGGCCTCAAATCACTTAAGCTATATGCCTGCTTTGTTGTAGTTCTGCAAATGTTTAATGAGACCACAAGGTAGAAGCCAAGGGTCCAGCCTTAATCAAATTACAGCACTTACCTTGACCTCCAGGGTACATACACCTAAAGGCTCTTCCCAGCTCTTCAGCCTGAACTCTGCCCGCTGGAGTTAGTTCTCCTCCCCATTTTAGAACCAGAAGTAAGGATGGCTCCTCTCTTCGGTTATCTAAAAAGAAGAGAGTGATAAAACAAATGTTCACCCTGTTTCATTCAAGCAAATGTTTAAACATTTATCTCAGTCTTAATATTTACTCTGGGCTCTGTTTTTTTAAGTGGAATTTGGCCCATATGCAAATCATTTTCTTCTCTAAGTGTGCCTCAGTATGGACTGCGGCTTCCTTCAGGATGCCCTTTGCTCTTCCAGGAGCTTTAAAGTCTCCTTCAGTCAGTTAGGAAGTAGGTCTCCATGTCCTGCAGAGAACCATTCTCTCGCCCTCCCTGCTCTGCTCACAATTTTTACAGCACATTTAACTCAGTTAGTTGTAAGTAAAAGGCGCTCTGAAATAACCCTGAGGAGTTGCAAAATAATAAAACATATTTCTTACTTAAAATTGAAAAAAATTGAAGCCTACTTTTATGAGATTACTTGTAGGGGAAATGGGACAAGATAGGGCTTCTTAGGGAAGAGGAGGGAAATAAATACAGAATGCGATTGGAGGAAGAAAAGGGGAAATATCAGAACACAAGTGACCTGATGGGAAAATGAGGCGCTCCTTAGAGATGCAGGAGGGAGGCAAACATAGATAAGGGAGGGAAGTGGATAAATAATGAAAAGGCTATCTGAAAAAGCCACAATCATACTACTATTTACCACTACCCTCAAAATAGGCCTACAATGCAAGTAATTTCTTACATAGATAAATATATATAAAGTTTTAATGAACTTTTCTCATCTGGGCTGACAATGCTCCCTCCAAGAGCCAAAGATCACCTAAAAACCCTCAATATCAGACATGAGAAGCCCTCTTTTGAGTCGTTGGCAGAGGCTCTCCAGGGAACTCCCCAAATGCACAGCCTAATACTATTGTCTTCAGTCACTCTCAGAGGTGGACGATAAATCCTTATTGCTTAAGACACCATGCACTTCAGATGCAGGGCATAGAAACCCTTGGGCTGGAACTGACCTGAAAGACTCTTCCTTAAGAACTCGCTTTCATGGTACAAGAAGGCCATGTAAGCCTCCAAATTAGGGAAGCAACCAACAGTCTCATGACACTGTGACACCTACGATCCACATCGATGACTGGCATAGCACAATAACCCTAAGGTGTAGTAGTGGCATGCATACCTTGGTGGTAACCAACACCTCTCTAATTGTACTTAGAACAAGCTCAACAAGAGGAATACCATGCCTAATACTGGGAACTACTCAGTGCTAATGAAATCATGGTTATTGGAGGAGAATCTCCAAGCGCTAATTTACCACACCAGCATAAACGAGCAATCTATAAACATCTGTCCTTAAACCTATAGACAACTGCAGTCCTTACCCCCATCAAGGAAACTTTTCTTTGCAGCAGATGGAAGCCACTACAAAAACCCACAACCAATTGAAAGGCAGAGTTATGGAGCTCACTCCCGAAGGATACATCTACAAAACACCCCCACACCAAAGGCAATATTGTAGAAGAGGGGCCAGGAAGATTCTAAGAGCCAGAGGCTCAGAGAGTTTCCTAGGAAACTGTGTCTCCAGTAACAGCAGAAGCCACGCCCATAAAGTCTCAAAAACAAGACTGCCCCAACCTAAGCTGAAGAGAGATGACACAAAGGAACACACAAAACTGGATGAGAAAAAGCCCAGGGCCTCAACCCTACACAGAGATCGACCAATAACTAAGTGAGGCTGGGAGTGGGAGGAGAGGGTCTTCCCGAGAAACTAAATGGCTAGCCATAAAAACATGCATACAAGTAACATCATATGGCCTGAACAGTTTATAATTAATAAAAAAAAAAAAAAAGAGGCCAAGAATTTGAAGGATAGGGGAATGGGCATTTGAGATGGTTTGAAGGGAAGAAAGGGAAGGGAGAAATGTTCTAATTAAGTTATAATTTCAAATATAAACCAAAAATATCTTTATTTAAAGGACAGAAGCATAGTTAACAAAATTACTCATCTTAGTTATTTTTTACACAGCACACAAATCCCAAAGGCTACTGAGCAAGAAATAGCCCAAGTTAGCAACACAGAGTAAGTCATTCCATACATATAATTGCAATAGGCGTTAAAAATGATATACCTTCCTCCTCACTGGACGTTTTAGGACAGCCATGAGGGAGATAGGTCAATTGGACCTTACGATTTATTCCAGAAAAATGACCATACCTGAAAAAGAAAATGTCGATTGGATTGTAAAATATTAATGAAGTAGTGATTGACTTCCACAAGAGAAACAAAAATGTATGGATAAAAACTAATTCTCTTGTACTGCCTTGGTTGCGTCTTCAAAAATACCCTAGCTTACAAAAAAAAAAAAAAAAAAAAAGCTTTCGGCTTTAGGTAGAGGAGGTGTACTCCAGGCCCCGCCATCACTCACTGAGGAGCTGCGGCTAGATGGTAGATGGTGGCTTCTGAGGAGGGAGAATTATTCTTTTTTTAGAATATGGGCATGGGCAGGATTCCCATGCTCCCCCGGATGCCCCAGGCCCATTGGCATATACAGTCAACACTAATGGAATTTAATGAAAACACGATTTTGGGAGGGAGATGTGTTAGTGGAGAACGGGGGCAGCTGGAGGGGAAATGGGAAGTATATATGATAAAATTACATTATATAGACAAAGGAATTCTCAAAAATAGAATTAAAATGTTTTAAAATAAAGTACAATTTAAATATCATTAAATAAAGGATATAGGTACATAAATTCGTGTAACATTCATAACAGAAATACTGACCAATTTTTGATTGAATGGTTCAAACTGTTGTGCCTAAATAAGGCTGAATCTAGGATTCAGTTAGGCAGTGGTCTTCATTCTAAGTATTCCAGAAGGCCCAAGTACAACATTTGCTTTCTTTCTCCTCAGCGAAGTTAATAGAAAACTAAAGCAGCAATAATCAATATAATATATTTTCAGATTAGAGTTTCAGTTTTCTCCAGTTGTACCAATAAAGAACTGAAAGAACACACTGAAAGAAATAAAACTGGTGTGCTGGCTAGTTTTATTTTATAGCAACTTGACACAAGCTAGAGTCTTCTGAAGGTAAGGAACTTCAGTTGAGAAAATGCCTCCCTAGGATTGGGCTGTAAGCAAGCCTACAGGTCATATTCTTAATTGGTGATTGATGGGGGAGGTCCCGGGCCATTGTGGCTGGTACAACTCTGAGCTGGTGGTCCTGGCTTCTATAAGCAATCAGGCTGAGCAAGCCAGAGAGCAGTCACCCTTGTGGCCTCTGCACTAGCTCCTGCCTCTAGGTTCCTGCCTGGTTTGAGTTCTTGGCTTGTTTTCTCTCAATAGACTCTGATTCAGGATCTGTAAGCCATATAAACCCTTTTCTCCCCAAGCTTCTTTTGGTCATAGTGTTTTGTTGCAGCTGTAGTAACCCTGACTAGGACAAATGACAATCCCATAAACCTAACAGGAAAACTGAAGTGTGCCAAAAGGTACTCACATCTCTAACACAGTCTTAAGTTGTTCAAGTTTTGACTTGTTTTCTTCAATTTCAGAGTCATTGTTTTGTCCCAGCTCCATAAGAAGCTGCCGTGCAATATCCAGGACTTCCTATGTATGTTAATAAAGAGTTTGAATTTTTATATAATTTCACCATAAAAAATTTAAATTTAATATACACAAAAGCAAATAACAACAACAAAACTTGCCTGTAATTGCTTTGGCTTCTTGAGTTTTAACTTCCCTGACTTATAGCCATCACACTTTTCAAAAAGATCAAAAAACCTTGCAAAAAAAAGAGAAGTTAGTCATTTGCAATCATTAATATTGCTGTGAGGCTGGATATGGTGGTGCACACCTACAACCACCACAGTCAACAGGCCTAATAAAACAGACACAGGAATGGAGCTTTAAAGTCAATGCATGTAAGCACTGTGTTTCCTCTGTCACTCAACCTCAAGTTTCCTCTGCCTTTTCTCCCTGACACAGTGTCATGTTACATATTACCCAGATGGCACCTACCTCCTTGGCTCAAATGATCTCCTGTCTCTATCTCTGAAACACAAGTACATGAACTAGTGGAACCCAGCACACTTGGCATCTGCTCCTCTTTTACCAATAAAACTTAGCACACACCTGACACATCAAACTAACACCCACTATATTATTTTCACGAGTTGGCTTGTGCATCGTGAGATGGAAGCAGCATACAATTAAATACAAAATATTTTCTGTTGTCAGTGCATAATGTGTCAATACATATTTAATGGCTCAGGTATTCATATTTTATAATCTCCAAACCAAACAGTGAACAAAGAAAATGGACACTTGGTTTTAGAATGCTGAGATGTTGATGTTTCTCATAGTACAAAGCAAGAAAATAACAAACTAGCCGGGCGGTGGTGGCGCATACCTTTAATCCCAGCAGAGGGAGGCAGAGGCAGGTGGATCTCTGTGTGTTCGAGGCCAGCCTGGTCTACAAGAGCTAGTCCGGGACAGGTACCAAAGCTACAGAGAAAAAAACAAAGAAACAAACAAACAAAAAAAAAATAACAAATTAAGAGTAACTAGTATTTATGATGACAAATGAAAGGCAGGTTAGATTGACAGTTATAGATACACCCAAATAAATTGTAGGCGCTAACACATACAATTACTTTAAATGGGTTTGTATGCATTCAGAGGTTTAAATATTTTCATGATCAAAAAGTAGTAGGTAGAAATGCTCTGTCTGATGCGTCAATCAAAAGAGCTTCACACCAACAGAAATCCGAAATTACACATGAATCGTAAGTTATTTCTCTTAAGACATACTTTTGGTGCCTCACTTCCATTTTCATCTTTTGTTTTGGTGTTCGATCTCCATGCCGTATGACAGCTATGACACACCGAAGTTCCATCCTAAAATGACAAAAAATACCCATGTCCTCATCTCTCTGACATTAAGGGTTTCTTTTGTCTTAATTTTGAAAAGGCAGGTTCTACAAGAAATGAAGAAAGTAGAGGAGCTATTCAGATACACAGTATTTCTCCTTCTTTACAGATAGCGAGGAATAAAATCAAAGGATTCTAGCCTGAGCTTTAGTCAATATCTGACACGTAGCACTGCCTTATCAGCAGAGACTCCGTTAAATCAAAGGAAAATCAACTCATATGCTGGCTGCTGTATTTATATATTTACGATATCTTGTCATCTAAGAAGAAAATTATTTAAAATTTAACTTAGAATAGTGTTTAGTGGTATGCCAGAGTGAAAAGTTATCATTTCAATTCTCAAAGTGTGAACCACTGAACACATCCCTGAAAGATATTAATAGTCAAAAAATATTCTATGTAGAATAAATTTGAAAGTGGTACCTCAAAGCATAATCAAATACAATTTTCCTCCCAATTAGAACTTTTCAGAATATTTAACAAGTTAATGAGTCTCTAACTTTGTGACAATGAAGCATTTAGTCAAATCACTTGACATTAAACCGAGTGATTTTTCCCTAGCAAAGGCTATCAAATACGTATCAATTTGATTCATTTACCCAAAGACGTACCAAGACAAAAACAAAGCTGTATGATTCCATAAAGACCCAGGCACGGATACAGGTTTTAAGTGGCTCTGTACTTGCTCTATCATGTCTCAGGATGTTAACGTAACCTTGTGAGGTTTAGCTTAGTATACCCTTGGAAAAACTCACCTATTCCCCCATCTCCTTCAAACCGAGTCATATGAAAATGCACATAGTAATCTAATAATCATTCAGAAATTTACTTTTTACTGTAATAAGACAGACTAATGTGGAAAACCCAGGGAATTTCTGAATGAAAAATACATACTTGAAACTTACATAGTTCCAGATGTGGTTGGTACAATGGGAATATCTTCAGCTTCTAAGGGTATTGACCAGGGGATGTGAAACTGTGGTGCAAGCTCCCGCATTACAATATTGCTTTAAGACCAAGAGAATATTATTAAAAATTAGTTATTTCAAAGACAGAATTGGAATTTAATTATGCCATGATGGAGAAACATAAAGATTAAAGCCAAACTACCTAATGGTTATATTACATAAAAATTTCCCCAAACCAAATCCTGATCACGAAACCTAAGATAGGCATCTCTAAATTGGACAGGCTAATAAAGCACTATGCATTAGTGATTAACTTATATAGTTGAAGATGAGGCTTGCTTTAATTATATTCCTAATTAGAACTATTTTTTCATTTATTAACTACCTGTTAAACACTTATTAAGTTATTTTTTTGTTATGTGTGTGAGGTACTGAGCATGGAACCAAGAGCCCTGTGAATAGAGTATTTTTCTACTCATTTACATATCTGACAAACTTATTGTAAATATGATAATTTCTAACAAGTCACTACTATGTTGGAAAGATGTTTTAATAACTGATTTGAGGGGCTGAGAGATTTCTCAGTTGGTAATGTGCTTACCTTCCAAGTATAAGAACTTGAGTTTGAACCACACAGGTCAGTACAATAAGAAAGGTCGGGCATGGTAGTGTACTTCTGTAACCCCAGTGTTGGGAAGGCAGAGACACAGATGCCCAGAACTAATAACCCTAGCTCATAGGAGAGTTCCAGGCCAGAGAGAGACCGAGACAACCTATCTCAAGAAGAGTAGACAGAGTAGACAGAGTAGACAGTACTGAGAACGACACCTAAGGTTGCTCTTTGGCCACCACAGGAACACACATGAGCAAGCACTCTCATGAACACAGCCATATGTGCACAGTACACACAAACTCTCTCCCTCTTTCTCCCTTCTTTTTCTTCTGCCTTCTCTTCTCTCACTCTCCTACATACACATAATTTATTGTCCTTTTCTAAGTTAGCATAGTTCATACTAGAATTTAGCATGACACATTGCTTTGACATCTCTTTGAAATGACATATAAAAATGGTATTTCTACACATAATATTTTCTTTTCCATTTATTTGATTACCTTATTAGAACAGCAAGTAACACAAATGTATAAAGTAAATTTCAAGTTTTTTCTGTATTACTGGGGTATTTTATTTCATGAGTGTTATTTTATAACATTAAGTTGGTAAAAGAAACATTTCAAATACAATTACATAGGAAAAATGAAAAAAAATATCTATTAATCCCGTGTTTTATCAAAGTATGATGTAAAATTTTTAGCAGCATATTATCCATTAAGCTGTCCTCACAACCTAACGCACAACCCAGGATCTGGCATAGTTTGGGGGAATCTTCTGAATACTGCATATTACTCTAGAGTGATCTAAAAACTTCCATGGCTTACCAGATACACAAACGTGAACAGAAGAAAGGTAAACGCTTACCCAAGTATTTTTGCACAATCATCATAGTACTTCATGGAATTTTTCACAAAGCTGAAGCCATTGACATCACAGACGTAGGATTGTCCATTAGCACGTAACAAATCAAAGCCGCAAACTGTTTGCTATTTAAAACAAGTTAGAAATGTCAAGGATTCACTGGAACTATTATGATTCAGCATTCTAGTCCTTTAATAACATTATATATTTTAAAGTACCTAACAATATATCATATAAAGTTTTTTTTATATAAAAAGAAACCAAGGTTACAAATAATCTAACCTTGAATACTCTGAACACACATTATGTATTCCATGGGATTATTCCCTTACCATAAAGACATAGGCTAATATTAATCTTTGGATTTCTACTACAATAAAACAGTTTCTAAGACCAGATTATAGCTTATTTAGAGACTAACATTCTTCACACAAAAGATGTCAAATAACTACCCATAAGTAGTTCTTTTTATTAATAACCAGTAATATAATCAGCTTATGTGAAGAATCTGAGATAGGACTTCTTTAAAAAGATAAAATGCATTCCTTATTAAATGTAGGTCATACTACTTTCACTTAAATTTTTACTATATACTAGTAATTAGAATAAAAAAATTAATAGTAGAAGAGGGAAAAGTAAAACAAAAGCAAAAAGATTTCTTTAAAAGGTATTTATATTGTTCTCATAAGATGTTTTACTATATATTAGGTCAAAGGACTGAGAGCTAATGATAAAACAATGAAGATAGATTTTATTCAAATAGTATTTTAATCAGTTTTATGAAAGTAGAAAGCACTTATCACCTACTGAATAAATATGTCAGGTACTACCACTACTAGTTAGTGGTGTTATTCTATAACTTTAATTTTTGACTAAATGAATAAGGTTTATTAGTTTTCTCTAATAAGGAAAGAACGCATACAGGAAAATGACGTCAGACCCACAGAAATGCCTGCATACACACATGAGCTCACATATATAATTACTTCCTCAGCTTACTTTTCTTCTTGTCCAATAATGTCTAGTGTTCAGAATAAACCTAGAATGCAAGGGTCTGTATAATTTGCATAGCATCTTACCTTGAAAGCAAGGCAGACTTTCCACGCAATCAGCTTCTCCCGTGCATTGAGGATGACGGGGTACCTGACTTCCTTCCCTTCACTGTCTCGTTCTACCTTGCCATCGAGAGCTGGAGATTTCCGGGCTTCAGCGTGAGCATAGTCTGGACCCACAGTATAAACCTTCCAAAAACATAAATATATGTAATATATATTGCTGGTCAAATATATAACTAGAAAATAATAAATTCAAAGAAAAATACCTGTTTAAAATAGTTCAGACTCCAACTATTAAAAGATACACTTTTCTATTTTATATGCCAGGACTTTCGATACATTAGAAAGGGTTATATATAATTACTTACACAACATGAGACTTTATTCTCTGTGCTAAACTATTAAAGTGAGCATTATGACGATAAAACTGTCTATGTCTAATTACAGAAAGATATAATTCTTAAATGGGAATAGAAAAATAGATTACAAGATATTTCTAAAGGGGGGAATTGATCTAAATGTAGACAAAGGAAAGGCATTTTCTACAGAAGTAATAAATAGAAAGGGCAGAGGAAAAAACCAGCGCAAGGTATTCTTGGACAGGAAGGGAATTTGACTGTAGTATGTACTGTAAGAAACAGCATTTGTTAAGGGCTGCAGAGATGCCTCAGGAATTAAGAAATGCCGTTTGTTAGAAGAAAGGTTAAGCAACAGTTCATATGGCAGTCTTTCGAACAGGGATGTTATCCTGTGATCAATGTGAACTTGCCAGTAAAAAAAAATCTGGTTCAAGCCCAGATTTGTAAGTTTAGAGAGAACAGCCTAGTCAGAGAAAGGCTGGCTGGGAAGGGGCAAGCTTCACTGGTTACCACGGGCAATGGCGTTTTTATATCACAGTACAGAGAGCCCATCACTGGCATAGATCTGCATCCATCAGTGTGTGAAAGCTACTAGAATGCTCAGCCTGATATGGTATGACTCATAAGCCTGGGGAAGAATCATGTGTACTTCCAGCTTTACCCACTTTCATGAGTTTCACTAAAATCTTTTGTCTTTGCAGTACTTCATGTTTTAAGCACTTAAGAATGCTATTCTTGCCGGGCGGTGGTGGCACACGCCTTTAATCCCAGCACTCACCGGGAGGCAGAGGCAGGCGGATCTCTGTGAGTTCGAGGCCAGCCTGGTCTACAGAGCTAGTTCTAGGACAGGAACCAAAAAGCTACAGAGAAACCCTGTCTCAAAAATAAAAATTAAAAAAAAAAAAAAGAATGCTATTCTTTAAAAAGGAGTTCTTGGGTTTCTAACTATCCATGATGTCCACCATACAAAACCGAATAGAAAGTCTGGGCCAAGGAGAGTTTAGGGTTAGAATGCGTGCCTATCTCACATAAGGGCCTAGGTTCCATCACTAGTATCAATAACGGTAACATTAAAATAAGGAAAAAGAAGTAGAGGCTAAAGAGTTACCGTCTCTAAAATACTGGTGAGCTCAAACTGTGAGCTGAAACTTATATGGTCCCTATGATTTATGTGGCCTTATGGTACTGAACGTGAGAACTTCCAATTTGACATAGGATGACACAACAGTGATTTACTTCCAGTTGAAATTTCCTTTGAATTTTGATTTCCTTTTGGTTCGGTGACAACATAGTATCTCTAGTGAAGCTGGACAGCAGCAGTTAAATGCAGCTTTTGCCAGGTGTGCAATTACAAGTGAAACATAAAATTAAACTACGATATTTGTGAGATTAGATTTATTAAACGCATTTTCAACTTACAGCCATTTTCTTCTTCTTTTTTTTTTTTTTTTGAGAAAAGATTCTCACTATTAAATCTTCTAGCATTGGAACTGGATATGGAGCTAAGGTTTACGTCAAATTCAGGGACTTCTTTGCCTCAAATCTGAGTGTTGGGATTGTAGGTTACACTACCATACCCAGCTAACAAAGTGTTTTAAAGTTACACCAAGTTTATCAGGACATGACTCAATATTAATCAAGGAGCATCTGCACTTTAACCCACCATGCCTTAATCAGCCTTGTCATAAATACAAAATTAGAATCTAAGGAATCGTACCTTAACATCAGTACCATCTGTAGGCATAAACTCTTCATATATATATGACCCTGTTTTTCGCACATTGCTTTCTGGAGAATATACACTACTTCTGCTGCCAATCTAGAGAGAAAAGATGTCCATCAACATAAGAGTCAAAGTAGTATCCTCATTTTTATAATATATCTAAAATGTAACCTTTACGAACCATGTATTGTAGATATTCTTAATTATTAAATAACTTTAATATATGAAGATTTAACAATGCTTAATATATATTTCACAGTATATGTTCTCTGGTGTATTTTTTTCACTTAAATATAACATAAAGAGCATAAAATATAATAAACAAATTATGTCTCTGGGGGTGAAGAGAAAACCTCAGTGTTTGAGTATTGGTTGCTCTTCCAGAGGATCCAAGTTCCCAGCAATCACATCAGGCTGCTGACAACCACCTATAGCTCCAGTTCCAGGGAATGTGATGTGCTCTTCTGGCCTCCCTTCCACATAGATGTGCCAGACATACACACGAGAGACAGAGAAAGAGAGAGAAAGAAAGAGAAAGAGAGAGGGAAAGAGAGAGCAAAAGAGAGAAGAGAGACAGGTGGGGGGAGAGAATTGAGTACATTTTTTGCTACAGAGTGTCTATTATGTAAACATTTCATGTTATACACATATGTCTAGGATGTTTGCCGAGCTTCTTGCATGATACAGCACTGCTGCTTTAACTTGCTTACAATGCAACCATGCCACACATAGAGCTATGTTTCTAAGAAATCCTTAGGAGGTTCATATGCGTTCATATCTGTACGCACACAGATACTGTCAAAACCTTGTAGAAACTACATTATCTGAGTCTCACAGATAATACAGAATAAAGTTCTAGCTGGTCTAAATCTCCTCGTCTTGTTTATACTTGCTATTTTTACTCTTCAGTATTTGCCATTATAATGGATATGTATTTAGACTGCATCTTGTACTCTGCTTAAGATTTATTTTTACTGTATATGTACTGGTGTGTTGCCTGCATGTATATATGTGCATCAAATGCATGCGGCGCTTACAGAGACTAGAGGAGAGCATCAAATCCCCTCCAACTGGAGTTGCAGATGGTTGTGAGCTGCCACAGGAGTGCCATGAACCTACCTGGGTCCTCTGTAAGAACAGCAAGGCTTATTTCCCAATTACCCTATTTAAAAGAAAACCTTTCTTATTCTAACAGGTAACATATCATTATACTTCAGAACTGATTTGCATTTATTTTATTATGGGAACAAGCAAGCATACACTTATATGTGTAAAAATTACATATATTACTTTTTGTATAAAATAGCATTTTTTCCATATAATTTTTCCAACAAAGGGTTATCTTCATTCAATTTCTAGTGTCATAGAAATGCAAGTGGGAGATTGAGAAAACATCAGGTAACTTCATATTCTGAAGGCAGGAATTCTGTTCACATTATGTAACTACATTGTCTGTGGTGGTTGGATGGGAAATGCCTCCACAGACTCGGGTGTATGGACATTGGTGTCACCATTTGTGGATTAAGTGCTGCAGCCTTGTAGGAGGACGGGCCTCCCTGGGGGTGAGCTCTGAGAGGAAAAGCTCCATGCCATTTCCAGTTAGCGCCCTCTACTTCACGCTTGCTGTTGAAGACTGAGCTCTTGGCTCTCTGCTCCTGTAGCTACCATGCCTGCAGCTTGCAGTTAGGCTTCCCCTGGCACAGCAACCTCTTATCTCTCTGGAGCCACAAGTTCAAATAAACTCTCCCGTCCTTCTAAAGGCTACTTTTCCTTGTGGCATTTTACCACAGGGACAGGAAGTGACAGCACACTTTCTAACAACATTATCTCAGCTTTATGAATTTTCCTGTAGATGACGACAGTGCAAGATTTCACCTTTTATTAAGAGCTTGATGACTTTTTAGCAAAGTATGTAGAAGAAAGAAGATTATTCCCACAACAGTTCCAAAGGCTTACCTTTCTGAAGAGCCTTTGACTTCCCCCGCCGGCAGATGTGGGATAATAAATGTAAACATTGTGGTCTTCTGCACTAACGGGCTTTTCTACAAATGGCTTTTGGAAAACTTCCCCATTGACTTCTACATGATCTTCTCCTTCAATCAGACTGCATTCTGTAAACAAAACATAATAGCAAGGATGGTCAGGAACTCTTTTATCACTTAGATAACATCCTTACAAGAGCAAACATAAAATTTACTTTTCAAGCTTCTAGTAAAACTATGCTAGGCCTCAGTAGACACAATCCCTGGAGCTGGGGAGGCAGTGCGGCAGCAGGAGCAACATGACAAGCCTGGCTATTATATACAGGGCCTGGGTTCAGCCCTCAGAACCTCGGGGAAAGATTATCCAGTGCCAAATGGTCAGCCCTCAAATCATATGCACACCATTATACATAGGAAACCATAAACTATGAGTTAGCCAGTTAGCTCATGGTGTCTCGTTTGGTTTTGTTTTCTATGATGTAGTCTAACAGTATAAAGCCCTGAACTAAATACATGCTGAATATGACCTTGAGTTCCCTATCAACCTTCTTCAGTGTTCTGAGTCCTGGTATTATATGTGAGTTCTGCCACAACAGCCACAATGTCACATGTTGATCAGATACAGTGCCACAGGCGAGCACCTCCACGACAGCCCACAATGTCACATGTTGATCAGATACAGTGCTACAGGCGAGCACCTCCACGATAGCCCACAATGTCACATGTTGATCAGATACAGTGCTCATTTGTTTAATTCTCTAAGAAAAAGAAGTAGGCTACTATTCTACTAATTGTAAGGAAGTGACAAAAAGTAAGTCAAGAACCAAAAGGAAGCCTGCTGAGTTCTCTGACCTTTCGGGTTATTTGGATCACGGTTCAGAATTGCATACCGAGGAAGTAAAATGCCTTCAGCTTGAAGAATGCTATAAACGTCTCTCCTAAAGAAACAGAAAACATCCTTATTGTTTAGTTCTCGATTTCACAATACATTTATCTTTGCACACAAGTAAAATATTACTCTTTATTACCATAAGGGGTACAAATATCAACCTTCTGTTTTTCTGTGTCCCTAACAAAAGTCACCAAAATTCATATAAAATAACTTTGGTAGCATATCAAAAGACTAAACTTTAAAAGAAGAATGTACATACATGAAGAGATATAGTCAAGTAAGACTACTCTATCACAAGGACAGATTATAGCCTAATTACTAAAAACCTTCTCTTCTTTTCTTAATGCTATAAAAAATGCTACAGTACGCTAAGAGAAAGGTAATTCTACCATCACACAAAATTAGTTTATATGTATTTCCATGTATAAGTAATCTCACGATATTAACATAGAAGAAAGTAGAATGATAATGAAAAATAGAATTATATGTAGCTACCAAAACAAAACACCAGTTAAATGAAGAGACAAATATATAAGCTTTTATCATTTCAACTAGAAGTCTATGCTCAACAAATGCTAAGATATACAGTAAGGAACTTTTCTAGTAGGTACACTTTACCATGGAAATCATCAGTTACAATGAATGACTTCCAATGTAATCAATCGTCAGTCACATGACAGGACACTGGAGTCTTGATGGGTTTACTAGGCTTTAGAAATCAAGCAGATGTGATCCAATTCTCAGTCCCGCTACTTGGGAGACTACCCTTGACTTTGTGTAAGTGAACTGATTTCTTCAACTGTCAGGTTCCTCAACTGTAAAGTTTGCTAATGATTATCTGTTTCTGAGTATTACTTTAAGGACGCATATGAAAACATCTGATGCTGTACAGCATACACTGATTACTAAGCGTAGATTTCTGTTTCCCTTAATTCAGTGAACTTCACCACTCACCTATCTTGTATGAGATACTGCATATTCAAGTCATTGATTACAAATGGATTCCTGAGTTTTGCATAGGCAACTGCTTTGTCCAGTGGAAATCCTAAGAACACATATTATTATCATATTCCTTACAATATCAAGAAAAGCTTGCATCTATAAATTTATCAACCTGAATTGTGCCACCTCCCCTAAAAAATGTCATTATGTATATAACTGCCTTTTATAAAACATAAAATAATAAGTATGTTATACACTTACACAATACACGACACAAAAAAAAATGTGAACTGGGAAAATTTGATAAAAATCTAAGAAAAGTTAAATGTAAAGTTACACATAACTATGACACAAATTTTTATAAAACACACAGAGAAGAAAAGGATTAGAAAGAAGTCTATCAAAATGCTAACTTCCCTTATCTGTGAGTTTGCTTCATTCTGTTTTATCCAATACTCTACACTAATATGTATTACTATTACAATCAGAGAGGATGAAAGTCCCTATCCACCATTTAATACCTTTAGAATGGAAAGAAATAAGACAGTCACATAATGGCCAGTTTTCCACGGGTTCGTTCAAAATTACTTCCTCTTCAAAAACCACTACTGTGATGTATTTAAATAAAGAGATCCGTTCCAAAATTTCCTTCATGGGTTTGGATTTGGATTTCTTTGCCATGGAACATATTCCAACCACAATCTGCCTTTCTGGTGGCTAAAAGAGAAACAAAACAAAATAATGAGATGACTTACTAGGCATTCTAAAACATCACTCTTAATTTCCTCCCAGAAGTAGATGAGCCATAGGAGTCAATAAAACTGACATATTCACCACTGAAGACATTAAAATCCTATCAGTGACAACACTTTACAATTAAAACAATTTTTTTGAAAGATCTGAAAAAACTTTTAAAAATAAAACATTTTCAGCACATTGCTACTGCTTCCATTAACTTTAAAACACGAATAAACATACCTTTTTCAACTCCTTCTAGCATTTATTTATCTTCAGGCAGAAGAAAGCAAATGAGAGTGGAAATTTATTTACTCCAATTAAAAGGTCCAGTAAGAGTCAGATAAAGAATGTGGCTACCTAAAATCAAATGCATTTCTAACTACCGAGCTACACAGTATTAAGTCTTCTTGTAGACGGAGCTGTGGGACATTAGTTGGTCATAGATAGCTTTCTGAACTTAAAAGAATGGCTCACTGCTAAAAGAGAAGATGTCAATGACCTTTTGACACTCCCTCCAGTATTCAGACTTGGCATTCCTACTTAATGGTTTTGTTATTCATTGTACTTTTTTTTTTTGCCAAACCAAAGTTCAAACTTGAATATGCACATCATAAACAGTAACATACTGAGTACCTCACATGCTCACACAATTTCTTAATATTCAGTCCTGATTCTTATCTCTGCATATTGCTTGCATTCAGGGACATAGGTAGATAGATAGATAGATAGATAGATAGATAGATAGATAGATAGATGGACAGATACCACTTCTCTCTCCATGACTTTATGTATCTCATAACACTACACAAAACTGCTCAAAGGTAGTTCATTAAACTTTCTCCTTAATGTTGCAATAAAAATTTTAAATCTAGAAAAAATAATTCTACATTGCCTCTTCTAACATGAAAATTGGAATTCAAATGAGTATTGGATTTGATTATAAACCAATCAGATTGTCAACAACAACTGCTTTGGGGTCTACTATCTCTGCTTTCTCTCACTGTCCGCCTTAAGGCTTCCCTATTCATTTTAGTCCTTATCAAAAATTTCAAACTGGTTCATTATAATCTTCCTAAAGGAGATTTCACAGGTCACAGCTGCCAGTTATTTCTCACTGCTATGATACAGTAAGTGACAAAAACATTAAGGGAGGATTTCTTTATCTCACGGTTTAGCCCAAGGTTCAGCCCACAGTTGCTTAGGCAGACTATCACGGAACAGAAATGGGAGGCAATAAAAGTCAGTAAGAGTGTGCCTCCTGGTGAGCTCTCCAAGGCAAGGCACACCCACAGTGACTTCTCTGTGAAAACCACAAAAACTAAGGAAGTGTTTGCGTCTGGTCTCACTGCTTTTAACAAGTGTGACAGGTTTTTCTTTTAAAATAAGATTCTATTTTTAACATGAAATTTAAGAAAACGCCTTTCATGTCTGTATTTTAAATCAGTTCCCAAAATAAAACAATGTTTGCCTGTGATCTAGAACAAGGACAGATAAGAAACGCACTAGACTAGCATAACAAGGGGGGAAATGCCTGTGACAGAGGCTCCGCTTCTAAGGTGCAGCAGGGCCATGACCTCCCACACACAAGCAGACCTGGGAGGCAGTCCTGGTGAACGTCACAAACTTAGTTAAGGTCTTTCTTGGTATCTTACAGCACTGGGCTGTCATTAAACTACTTCAGGATCTTATCTCTAGACATACTTACTACACTTTTTAATTGCCTGTCTGTCCATTATCACTTAAACTTTTTCAACTGAAAACATTTTAACAAATTTGCACGTTGAAAGGCAGTCTTAATTTAAAACCGTAGCATTCATTTACCCGAACTACACTTAGTGAAGTTCTGTGCTGTACTGGTTATCACAAAAGAAACGACTCACAGATTCATCGTCCTCTTCCTCATCTTCATCTGCATGGTGGAAGAAACGACGATAATTTCCAGGGTTTATCTCTGCATCTTCAGGCCCAACAAAGAATCTGGGGGCTTCGCTCATTTTTCTATTTCATTTGATGTACATAAAATTCAAGAATCTGTGTTAAAACTTGTTCAAGTAAATAGTTTTGGAAGAAAACATTCTCGCTGTGCTAGCTGACACCCAGGTCTGCTGCAGTGTTTTTATACCATCACATGCAATGTGCTGACATTCAGTTGGCAAATGCTCCTTTGTTCTCAGATATCATGGCTTCATTGTTGATCTCCAAGTTGCTGCTACAGTTTAAATACAAAGACAATGAGGCTACTGCTTCCCCGAGTTGAAACAGCAATCCTTTTACCTAAAATGCAATGCAAACAATTAATTTGAAGAGTGTCTTTTAGAAACACATAAAAAAATAATTTTAAAAGATACCAGAACCAATAACTTGACAAAGGCCACCAAAACGAAAATATATTTTCTGCCACAAAATTAAGTAATAGAGATTAAATTCTAGTAAAATGCATTAGAAGTGGATAAGATGTCACAATATAACAAAGATTACACTCGATTCAAATCTAAAAAGTACCTGACAAATGAGAATATAATGCAAATTATAATACAAAATTTTGTTAAAAGTTAAATCCTCAATCCAGAAATATCTGAAAAAGGTAGACAATGACAGAAAACATGTAATGTACGCTTGATACTAACTGAAAATTGAGCATCAATCAGTGATGGCAACAAATCAACTGTAAAGGTTCAGTTAAAAAGAGTCCTGTGGTAAACATAACTAATCTGTAATAATGATTAGCAAACAAGACTTCAGCCAACAGTTCTCAAACTGATAGTTTGAAACTTTTAAGCAAATCTAGCACAATTGATGGACTTCTAATAAAATGTATTTGTCAAAAAACTACATATGATTCAATGAAACTCCCAAGAAAACCCCTCCATAAAAACCCACTAATTAACTACCGTATGCTAATGATATTATTTCAAACTATCCTTTACAAAGCTGTTTACATGTATCTGAACACTGGTGATATTAAAATTAGTTATCTGCCAAGAAGGAATTGTGTATCAAATATTTCACTTGGTGACTACTGATATAAAAAAACCCTGCTTAACCAAATATTTAAAAAATATTGATCAATATACTAAATAGATTTACAGAGTAAGTACATTCCAAAATTCTTATTTCTAGAAGTCTGATTTCAGTTTAACTAATGGCTTTCTATGAAATATTACAGATTACTTTTACAAAGTCTTGACTTTATAAAATTGTTACAATTTATAAAATTGTTAAAATCATTTAGGACTAAACTGAACGAAGAAAAAATTATTTATTAAGAAAGCTTTTTGTTCTTATTTTTATGCATGATTTAATAGTACAAGGTGTTTCATAAGGAAAAATCTCACAAGCTTCTATAGCTGCCCAGCTATAGACAATCTCGGCTCAGCTTTGTTGTTACTAAATGGCATACATCCGTGGGAGCTCTGTGTGCTTTTTATCTTCTTTCCACTTAAACATCTCTAAATATTTTAGTAACAGAAAGGGTATGTTTTTTACCAATCTGTTACTAAACAACTAACAACTTATGCTAGCGTTTCTGAATCTCATTTTCTCTCCCTCTCTCCTCCCCTCTCCCTCTCCACCTCTGTGTGTGTGTGTGTGTGTGTGTGTGTGTGTGTGTACATGAGAGTATACCAACAGCCTGTAACTGTGAAGACTGAGGTAACATAGTGCTTCACACATACTGAATACTTAATAAAACAACGTTTCTATAGGAACTGCTATAAATTAAGTTACTTACTAATATAAAATGGAAATCTAAGAATACTGCTGGTTATTTGTTGAACTGAACATATTTATTAAATAAATACTATTCACTTCTAATAGACACATTTCATTAAACAGAAACAACCGTACCTCTAGTTTAAGTACTGTAACATAAATGATACAACAAGAACCATCTCATTTTAGAGATAGTGTTGTTTTTGCTGTTTTAATTTAAATATTCTTTGTGAAATGAGAACACATCAATGTAAAATTCTGAATAACTCAGTCAAGAATCTAATGACCAGTGACAGAAATATGATTGCTATTTTTGGTTGTAAAACTACTGATTTATGGGGTTGGAGAGATGGCTCCATAGTGTATTCTTCCAGAGGTCCGAGCTCAATTCCAAACACCTACCTGGCGGATCACAACTGTAGTCCCATGGGGTCCGATGCCCTCTTCTGGTGTGCAGACATACATGCAGACAAATACCCAAACACATAAAAATACACATACAAATCTCAAAAAAAAAAAATACTGATTTGTATTTCCTACTAGTCTTTTCAACAAATAATGCACATTGGAAGCAGAAATCATCCAGAGGATAAGGTGAGGTGTGTAGCACCTTTTCTCCCCCAGATAATATGAATTAGTAAGTGATTCCCCCACCTACAGCACACACACCACTTATGGAATTCAGCTGGGACTTATTAGTGTTGCCGAGAGGACAAGAATGCATGTCCTCCAAACAACGGTAAGCTTATACCCACAGCCAAGCTTAGACATTCACAGGAGAGAGACAGAGATGAGCCAACAACCAAGCGCATGCTAGGACGTCTTCTCCTATAACGTGACATCTGATCACAGCTGGCATGATATGCTGAGATCATGCTGGGAAGAAACATGAAATATTGAAGCAGAAGTATGCTTGGTGTATTTCCCGTGTTCAACAACCAGTCAGTGAGATTGGAGTAGAACAGGGAAGCGAAGGAAATGTGGAGAAACCATTGTTAGAGATGTAACTGGAGCATTCAGAGGACTGAGGGGTTAAATCATTTCCTGAACTGCACTTGAGAAAGCAGGTGTAGAAGAAGAAGCAGGTTAGGCAGGAAAGGGCCTTCTTATAATGGTGGGCTGAACAAGTAGCCCTCAATAGAATATAAGGCTGGGTAACGCTCCCATTTATTTTTCTGTAATTCTATTTTAATATATGAGAGATATTATTAAAAAGCTGAACCAATCAATGCTTAAACGCATGGACTTAGGATTCAAAATCCCTAGGTTGGACTCTTATCCTTTAGAATTGTATTTGATCTCTTGGGTCCTACTTTTTTTATAAGTAAGCTCTACCTGTCATAGCCCATGTAAGGGTTGAATATCCATACACACATTAAATGTACTTGTGCCTGAAATTCTGGACAAACTCCATACCACTTAGAATGTTTGGGTAGAGCTGGGCTGTGGTGGCACGTGCCTTTAATCCCAGTACTGGGGAGGCAGAGGTGGGCGGATCTCTGTGAGTTCAAGGCCAGCCTGGTCTGCAAGGGTGTTTGGGTAGCACTTGGGTATGTTTTGAAGTTTCCCAAGCAGTTCCAACAAGCAGGCAAGTTTAGTCATGTACTAGCCGCTTCCCCATACAAATGGAGAAGAGAGTAAAACAACAGACACATAGAGGAGGCAGCACACATGTTCACCACGTCCACGACTGTGCACTGTTCGTTATTACAGAAAATCAAGTTTTCTTCTATAATAAAAATGATATGAAACAGACAAAATAGAATCTCTGTCCTCATGGTGCTTGGCTTATCTCAGCATAAATACTCCTCCACAAAACTTACCAATATCCAAGATTTTTTTTCCCTTTATCATACTTTTGACCTTGCTCACCTACGGTCTTATTTAACTACCTCAGCTGTATACAGCATTACAAAATCCAAAAAAAAAAAAAAAAAAATTCTCAAGGGAATGAAATTACTAAATGTTTTATATGCTAAAGACTTAGTTTTTTAATGCAGGGGCTTCCTAACATGTTGCTCAACCATGAATGCAAAATTGGGCATGTTCAAAACTTGTCTGAGCCATTCAGTTGGCTATGAGTCCTACTCAGGTAACTTGAGCAGCATTAAGGTCGGTTTTCCCTATGGCACAGCAAAGACACTATCATTGTCAATGTATGTCTAAATGTGAAATAATGTTAGGGATCAATTACTGTGCTGTGAATGAACATTCTTACAATTGTCTTTGATTATGGATGTTGTCCTCGTTTTATAAGTTTTTGAAGTATGCCGATGAGACCCAAGTACTCCAGTGATTTAAACTCTGAGGTGATGCTGACACCGCTGGAGTCTGAGAGCTGCCCCACTCCAGCAAGCAAACTCAACTCCCCCCCTTGGAACTGGCTCTGCTGTGCCTGGCCCAGTTCTCGCCTCCTGAGGAAATGAGGTTATACACCTCATACAAGCTTTGGCGATTACATGGGAATGCAGGTGCCAGGACAATTGGCCCACGTTAGGGATTCAGTAAACAGCAGCTGTTTCTATAACTGCCTAACTATGGCTATGAATAAGGAGTTTCTGAGTTTATTTAACTGACAGAACAAAACTAAATCAAAAAACAGAAATACATATAAGCAGCCAAGGTTAGGATATACCTTCTGGCAAAGGATGCCGGCTGGGTTCCTGTCCTGCTGCTGCTTTGGTGACCTTGTTACAGCACTCCAGTCTTACTGCACTGCTCCAGACTAGACTCCCCACTGCCCTGGATGAGAGTTCTCGCTCTCATATGTTCACAGGTACTGGCTCCATCCTTTCAAATAACACCCTGGATGAGTCACCGGTATCGCACAGCATTTAGAGATCCCTTACAGAAATCTTTCAAGCTATCATTCCCATAGGTTCCAATAATGTTCGCCACAAAAGAGCAAATTTCCACTCCAAAAACCAAAACAAATAAACAAGCAAACAAACAAAAAACAAAGGAAACTGGAGCTCCAATAACAGTTGTTCGATCAGAATGCAAATACATAACCAGTTTTCCTGAGATCCCCAAAACATTTTCCAGAGGAAACATTGCTATAAAGGAGAGCTAAGTCAAGCCACTAGGAAGACACTACACAAAAAGTGTTAAATGTTGGCTTCTTCGGGCTAGGAAAAGTAAGCTAGAATAGATTTTTGATTCTACAAACCAAGCTCCATACAGCTTTGGCACCGAGTCCCCTCCCTTTCAAAAGGAATACACATCTTTTCGCTGTGTCAGCTAGTTTGCCTGGAATATACCTTTCTGCTGAGTCAGCTCTTTGATCTGGAATTCATGGCTATTTTAGAGGAAGTTCCTAGTCTCCTTGAAATAAACAATTGGAAGACTTCAAAGAATGTTTCCCAAGCTATTCTCATGCACCTACCACCCCAAACACATAGCCGAACCTTTCCTTCATGTTCCATAAATACCTGTTTCTATGAGAGCTCAAAGTTTTGTTACATTTTAAATTTTCAGAAAGACCGCACGAACCGTGCATATGTCTAATATTAGATTCCATATTCTTTTAATTGCTCAATTTATTACCCTCATGATACTTTCATAATGTTCAATTTAATACCCTCACTCTACAAATCACATTGATTTAAAACTTAAAAAAAGCAAGCTTGATTGCACAATAATGACCCTTCTATTCATCAGTTTTAGGACTTTTTTTTTAAATAGCCTATACTGCAAGAAAGACTATTTGAGGTTGTGAAAAATTTAATTCTACGCCACACACAGAAGATGCACAGAGACCATGACTGTCATTTGTCACACACACACACACACACACACACACACACCACTCTGTGCTTTCTTAAACGGATAAATAAAACTTTGAACCACTGAAAATGTTAGTGAAGAAATTGGAATAAGAATAATAATGGCAGGACAATAGAATTCAGATCTACTTTCTAGTAAAGATTCAGAGGTTTACTCAAAGCAAAATGTTACTAGGGTAAGTTACACAACCTCACTAACTTAACATTTTCCAGCTAAAACCTTCATGGGATCCTTAAAAGACTGAATGAAAATATATGTGCAAAGCATTTGGCAGTTACCCATGTGTAGCAGCTATCGTCACGTTATCGCTCTAAAACCACATATTTCCGTTTTAAAAAACCTTAAGAGCGAAACAAAAGCCTGTCCCGGGGTAGGCTTGGAGGCTAATGCTGCAGTCAGCCATGCTTCCTACTTCTACAGCTAAGTCTTCTAGGACGCTGAAACGAGACAACCATTGCCACAAAACTCCAAGAATGGTTAACTCTCAGGAAGTTGTCCAGAACCTGGAGGATGAGATCCAAAGGTCATTACCAACAAGGGAGGACGCAAGGCCATCTAATCGATAAGGTGCGGGTGCGGCATTGACCTGCAACCTAGTATCTCAGCGGGCGAAGCTGCGGGCACATGGTGCTTTTGTTCCTTAAAAGTGGGTGTGGAAAGCCAAGACAAGCAGAGTGATGGAGACTACGGAATGAAGCAGCCACCTCTCCCCACAGCAGAACCCAAACAACGCTGCACACCTCTGTGCAAAGAGATTCAGATACAAGTTAGGCAGCTCCCTCCGAGCTGAACTGCTTTCTCAAACCCGAGACGTGAAAGGAGGAAGCGACGCGGGAAGTGGAAGAGAAATCAAGCCTGAAAAGGACCCTGGAGCTGGACTGTCACTCCTCCAAGACCACGTTGTCACTCGCTCCGGTTCGTGCCTCGGGCAAGAGCACGTGTCTGGGGTCCGCGGAGCAGAGCAGGGAGACAAAGCAAACACCTAAAGGCGGCAATGAGCCTCCAGCCATCGGGTCTGGCTCCGGTTCTCCACCGAGCTCCCGGTCCTCACCTGCCTCGGCTGCGGTCATCAAGCGATCCGTGGGAGATGCTTGAGCCCATCCAGGTTTCGGTTCCTCCCCTTTAACTGCAGGCACAAGGGTGAGGTAGGTGTTCGGGCAGAGGCGGCTCTCGGAGGCGTGGACCTGAAATCTTCCCTCTTCGGCATGAGCGGCAAGGCTGGCACGGCTACACCTCGGGAGCCTCCGACACGCCTCTTCCCCGCCCGCCCTCCACGGGTCTCACACCGAAACCGCACCGGCCGGGACAGTTTCCGCCGGACCAACGCTCCGCCTGAGCTTTCCTGTTCCACCACCGCCACCACCCCCCGCCAAACTCCGAGCCCGGTAGTTCCGTTTCCGGCAGCACCAGATAAGTCGCGGAAGAAAAGTTAAAACCTGCTGTTTGCATTTAGGACCACTTCGGTGAGTGGTCATTCTAGTGTGTTCTGTTATACCTCCTCCCTCCCCTTTTTTTAAAGTGAGACGTAAGCTGATAATAACTTTAAAACGGACCCCTTCGTCTGCTCTAAGGAAGGGTTTGACGAGGTGGAGGTTTCGCGCAGGCGCCTTTGGGGCTAAAGGGCCTTGAGTTTTGCTAGCCGAGCGGAAGCTGGCTGTAAAGAGGCGAGGACTTGTTGGGCTCAGGCAGTTGGCGACTGTGTGATTGAGTTGTCAACGGTCATTTTCTTGCTTATGCAAGGATTAGCTGGACCTTGCCCTCGGGAGCCAGTTAACAAGCTGTCAAATGCTTGCGGAACGCTCCCTCGCTGGCGGCTGCGAATGCTTGACTGCATTCGAAACTGCACTCGGCGGCTTGGCTAACGCTGGAGAAGTCTCACCCTGAATCGTGGTGAAAACCTACACCAAAGTGAAGAAATAAGCTCAAGGGGGAGTCTTAACACGCAGCTTTAAAGGAAACGTACCCTTTTAAATCTCACTGAATTCTTTCGTGGATTTTTCGAACCTCGGTTGAGAATTTTCAAAATAGACATGAGTTTGTCCTGTGCAGCAGATTTTGGAAGTAAGGGGATTTCTTGTTAATTGTGTACCCTTAGGTGAGACAGATTACAGAGTGTTCTGGAGAATTGCCTCCCCAGTCTTCTCTCTGCCGCTTCCCAGTTAATGCATAAATTGTGCTGGTTCAGTTTTCAGAGATTAAACTAGAGTAATTCATATGTCAGAATTCTCATCCCGAATTACTGTGTTTATTAAAACATTGCACGCTTTGTGTTTTTAAGTTGGAACACAAACTTACCTTCCACTGATTTTAACCGTAGCTTCGTGGTTAGTAGGAAATGATATGAGGGAACAAATGTAAAGGGATATTTAATCGCTTTAATTTTATTAGATGCACACGATAAAATTATTGAAGAAGTTAAGCAATAAGGATCAGTAAAAATACTTGTTTTATGTAATGTACACGAAGCATGGTGTGAAAAAATTTAACCAAGTATTCTGATGATCTTGCATCAGGGAAGTTGTTGTGATGAACCATCTTCAATACCTTTTCTAACGTCTGAGTTCTTGAAAAGATAAGGATATTTTTAAAGTTGGAAAATATTCTTTATATGTATGATTTTCTTTCCATTTTACGCAGTTACTGTTTCTCCTTTACATCTGTCTCCGTCTTAAAAACCAGCAGTTGATGGACTACATTAAATAGTAATGGAAGTCATGATAAAGTATATACACTGGGAGGCTCAGGCAGGAGAATCATCATGAGTTTGAAGCCAGCCCCATCTACCTACTGAATTCCAGGATCCAGATCCAGGACAACGCTGGCTACAGATAGCAAAAAAAAAAAAAAAAAAAAAAAAAAAGCAAGTAATACTCTTGCCAGGTCTATTGAACTTTACTATTAACAGTAGAACATAGATATTCCTCTAAAATATTAAATACATTAATAAAAGGTTTTTAAATTTCTTGAGCAATTTTGACAAAGAAGGTTCGATTGCTTTAAGCAACTTGATTGAAAACTTATAACAATGTCTATATATCATTTTACCATTTACAAAAGACTTTGAAATCCATTATTTCATTGATCTTTTTGGTTTTGGTAAAGGAGGGACAATTATTATGGCCTCCCCCCCAACATGGTCACTAAGACCTAGGTAAATGTCACACACCTGAAATTCTTACTCCCAGTTGATGCCTTCCAAACACCCCCTACTTGTGTCCTTATATATTCTCACCAACAGTGCTCAGGTCTCTGGGTTTTGTTGCCTGGGTTTGTATCCTCATGTCCTTATGTGGCTGTCCTGGACATTGTCCTTTGTCTAATGATGTTGAGTATTTCTCATGTGTTCATTAATGATACCCTTTTGTAGATGTTCAGTTCAAACTTCATGCCCATGTTTAACGTTAGGCTGTTTGCTTTCTTGTTAGGCTTTGAGTTCTTCATCAATCCTTTGTCAGAGATAGGTACTACAAATATTCTCCTTCAGCTGCATTTCTTAGCAGTGTCTTTATTTTTTTTTAAACCTCTGCAATTATTAGTTTATTAGTATCATCCAGGACTCATGTTCAGTATTCCTCCTCAAATTACATTAACAAACGCAAATGTAAAGAACCCAAGTCAAAATTATATAACAAACAGCACTCCATCACAAAAGCGCGTAAAATTACAAGAACGCTATTTTAAAACACTGGCACTTTAAGAGAATGATAATCTCAAAAAAAACACAAAATTGCCGAATTGTTCCCTAAACTGCTAAGCAGATTAAACATGACTAATGAGTGAGTTTGGGTTTTATAAAGAAATACCAAATGGATTGGACAACTGGTACTAATACACAGTTTAAGGTCTTTTCTTGTCTCCGATTTAATAAAGGGATAAATCACAATATAGGAAAATATACCCTTACTTTAATTTTAAATGTGGCATAATTTTAAGAAAAGCTGGCTCAACTAATTAAAAATACTTTTAAACAGTCAAGTTTCCTGAGCAATCCTGTATTTAGATAGATGGGCAAAGGCATTATAGCCAGTTTTCATCATAGCCTTTACTAGGGCTAATGTCAACAGAGAGTCTTATATGGCAGTCTTGTATTTTAAGCTCATGCCTTTGGGGATACATTCTCAGGTCTTTAATAGGGGAACTGCAGAATGTAACTGCCATTTCATAGTAATGGAAGCTAAGAAGAGTCCTCATGTAAGGATTAGAACATACTTTTCTATTCGTCCTTCAAGGACAGACTTTCAGACTTTGATCCTAATAATCCTATGGTGTAATAGAACTGATCACTCTCAGCTTTGCACGTGGGTTATGTACTATCTCTTAACTGACTGATCACAATTTTGAAATTAACTATGGACGAAAATGTTGCCCCCATCACAATATGCAGGGTGTGTAAATAAAAGCTCTTCTTCCAGCTAACTATATGAAAAGAAACACTGCAATAATTCGTGTGACCCAAAATGGGCAAAAGCAAAAGACTAGCTTCCCCTTGAGAAGAGAATTTTCAGACCTATGAAAAGGACAACAATACTAATAAAAAAAATTGTATTTACTTAGAAGCATTCAGAATGTCAACAAAACAGCTGCAATTTTTTTTGCAATTACAGAGTGGTATTCAGTTAACAGAACAATTATCTTCGTATAAGCTGCATCAGAGACAACTGAAGATGAAAAAAAAAACAAAAAACAAAACAAAACAAAAAAAACTACCGTCCCCATATATAACTAATTTGTGCTGTGCACCAACAAGAACCTGCTTTAAATTTCCATGCCAATTTACAACCCCCAGACTGTACCAGGCAAGGTTAGTGGCTTTTGAAAATACCACTAGGACAGGGCTATCTAATGACACATTCGGTAGTGTGTTAACTATACAAAAAAAGACACTGTACAGTTTAAAAACAAATCTTACACAGCCTTACATTTCAATTTTTTTCTTTAAAAGGAGTGAGTTGTGTACAGGGGGGTTAAATGCTTTATAGACAAGAAAAAAACTGCGCTAGAACCAACTTATTCATCATCATCATCTTCCTCATCTTCGTCTTCCTCTTCTTCCTCCTCCTCTTCATCCTCTTCGTCTTCCTCATCATCTTCCTCTTCCTTCTTTTTCTTGCTCTTTTCCGCCTTGACCACCCCCTTTTTCGCTGCATCGGGTTTTCCTTTAGCTCTGTAAGCAGCAATATCCTTTTCGTACTTCTCCTTCAGCTTGGCAGCCTTCTTTTCATAGGGCTGCTTGTCATCTGCAGCAGTGTTGTTCCACATCTCTCCCAGTTTCTTTGCAACACCACCAATGGATAAGCCAGGGTGTTCTTTGATTTTGGGGCAGAACAGAACAAGAAGAAGGCCGAAGGAGGCCTCTTGGGTGCATTGGGGTCCTTGAACTTCTTTTTGGTCTCCCCTTTGTGGGGGATGTAGGTTCTCATTTCTCTTTCATAACGAGCCTTGTCAGCCTTGGCCATGTCTTCAAATTTCCCCTTTTCTTTAGCAGACATAGTCTTCCACCTTTCTGAGCACTTCTTGGAGAACTCTGAGAAGTTGACAGAAGCATCCGGGTGCTTCTTCTTGCGTTCCTCCCGGCAGGTTTGCACAAAGAATGCATACGAGGACATTTTGCCTCTCGGCTTCTTAGGATCTCCTTTGCCCATGTTTAGTTGATTTTCTTTGTGTGGAGCCTGACCCGCCGGCTCCAGGCCGCGGGGATCCGGCCGCCGTGCGGGTGACGAGACTGCCCAAGGCGCTCTTGCCGCTGCTTGCCGTCCTGCACTCCTTAGCAGTGTCGTTAAAAAGAGGTTTAAATCTTTTCCTTCAAAAGTGACACTTTATATTTACTCCTTAGTCTAGCAAGCTCACCAACATTTTATTTTGTTTTTTCTTTTCTGGAAATGCTGTCATTTTAGCCCTTAAGTATGGGTCTGTGGCCATTTGTGAGCTAATTTTTACATGTCCTGTGAGATATAAGTTCATGGGTTTTTTTTATATGGATGTTTGATTGGTCCAGCATTTCTTGAAAACTCTCATTTCTTTGGGACCATGGTTAAAAATTGTTTTGCCATATCCGAGTGTCTGTTTCTAGATACTGTTCTGGCTGATGGACTGACAGTTATTTTACCAGCACCACAGTCTGCAAGTCATCCACTGTAAAAATTCTTATATCTGTCATTTTTCACAGTCATTTCACCTCTTCTGAGCCTGTTGATTTTACATATCAATTTAGAATTAACTTGCTGGGTTTTATAAAAGAGAGGGTAAAATGGAAATAAATTGTTTCATTTTGAAATGTCAAAAAAAGCCTCTGTCTAGAATACTTTTTTAAAAAAACCTGTAAGTCCCTCCCTTCCTAACAAAGAAAAAAAAAAACTAGGTAACCATGTTAATGTGCCAATTCTCCTCAAACTGGGATTGCATTGACTCTGTAGATCAATGGGAAGGGAATTGGAGTGTTGATGGAGTTATCTCATTTGACTCT